TAGCCCATTGAGCCCGCTGAAAGGAAGCCCTAAGCCTTAAAACTTAAACCCCCCTCAGCCCCCCCAAGCCCTTAAAAGCCAACCCCCCTTAGAAAACACGCTAGAATAGAAAGTGGAAAGATGCGCGACGAATCTCCGTGGATCGTGTCACACAGGATACTCTCATCATTTACAATACCTGGATTCGGTCATGTCGTCTACAAAAGATCTATTGCCTTTATCGGCGAAGGAGCTGAAATGCGTTAAAGCCAAAGCTTTTGGCATGTTGCAATGAGAGCGGTGGGCAACACTGCTCTGCCAGCATGGGTTCCGACTTAGAGGTTTCAGCTGGCTACCTGCCTAAACCCTCAACCCTCAACCTAAACCCTAAACCCTAAACCTTCATCTCTGAACCCTAAACCGCGAATCCCCAAAACAGCCCTCAGTGTCTGCGACCGAGGAGGATGCCACGGAGGAGGCAGAGGCTGCTCCTACACAAGTTTTAGATGTCCTTCTGAGTCTGCTATTTTGCTTAAGAACCCTCCAAGAAATACACGATAAGAATCCCTATATTCCCCTGCTCAGGAAGATTTATTTTTTGGGGGTGGGGACGGGGGGTGGTTCTTAAGCAAATGGTAGGAATAGGTGTTGGCCAATGCGAAAGACCAAAAGTAGCTAGCTTGCGTTGCATGTTGACACTTTGGCATTGGGGTTCTCTTTTCAAAGTTTGATGTGCCGTGGCTTCATGGGAGTAGCTTGCAGGACGGGTGCCAAGAGAGGCGGTCTTGGATGGCTTTTAATTACTTGGTTTAAAATCGCTTGATGCGCAAGGAAAGGGAAAAGGTTGAGTGTGCTTGGTTGAGTCCACGGTGCTTGTGTTCAGGGTTTGTGTCGCCCCGACACAGTAGGGTGGGGGGGGGTGGTGGGGGGTTGGGGTTCAACCTTGCAGGACCCACAAGCTTGGTTCACATGCGCCTTCTTTCACACAGCCATGGCAAGGTCTGCGGCCTCACTCCGAAACCCAGGGCGAAAGCTTGAAGTATCATGAGTTGCGCAGCTGGACACCGCCCCCGTAGATTTTCTAGAGACCCGTGTAAAGGTACATCCTTTTGTCCCTTAAGTGGGAGCGGGGGTGGGCGCTCGTGCTGAACTGCACGGAGCTGTAACAGGCCAACCTAGAGGCATGTGCCGAAAAAGTCACAAGCCGGACCCTACATTCCCCGAGTGAGTTGTGCCGAAATTACCTCAAGCCTGCGCAGCAGGGGCCGCGCATCTCGGGCGCCAAGCTGCCCGAGACGCTGCAGTTCAAGGCTGGGTTAGCTCAAGGGTTTAAAGTTTAAAGCGAGTTTCAGGGTGTAGGGTGTACAGGGGTCGAAGGGTTTCAGGGTTCAATCCGTCACTGTATCAGAGTTTAAGGGCCTCAAGGCTCAAGGGGTTGATGGTTTTTCAGGGTTCAGGGCTTTAGACTTGAAGGCTTTAGGGGTTCAAGGTTTTAAGTCGCCATCCCACTGAGAGCCAGGAGCAAACTCGGGTGTTGCTACGGCGTTGGCTTCAACCATCGTGAGCTCTTCGGCACTTTGCTTATTGGCCCCGAAACCAGCAGCCCTGATGGATGTACAGCGCCTTCTGTGCGACCCCCGAAACGCTTTCTTGGCTGCTCCCTCTCAGCTTTCTCATGTATGGCTTGGGTCCTAAACCCGACATGCCCCAAGATGGGCTATATGCGCCCCCAGAAGCCTTAGCCGCAGAAGCCACAAACGCCCTTAGCCTCAAAAAGCCCTAAACCCTAAACCCTAATCCCTAAACCCTAAACCGAAAACCTGCACTGAAAAGCCCTAAACCCTAATCCCAAACCCGAAACCCTGAACCTTAAACCCTAAACCCCGAAACCATGGGCTCTCACCGTCCCCAGCGCCACGCTGCAGGAAGTCATCTGCAGTGATGACAAGGCCGCGGGCATTCGCTGCTTGAGTTTCAGGGTTTTGGGTTTGGGGTTTAGGGTTTGGGGTTTGGGGTCTGGGGTTTGGGTTCAGGGTTTAGGGTTCAGGGTTTAGGGTTTGGGGTTTAATGTTTTGGGGGCTTTGGGCTTGGAGCTTAGTCAGGGGAGTTGTAGCTTTTTTTCTGTGATTTGATGTAGAAAGTTCGGGTTGTAGAGCTGGAGATGGATACGAGTCACAGAACTCTTCGAGAGGCACTTGAGTCTGATACCCCTGCATGTGTGATACGTACACCTTTGTGAATGTAAACCCTAAGCCTACACCCTCAGCCCAAAACCCTAAACCCTTTACCCTAAACCCCAAACCCCTAAACCCTAAACGACCCTAGACCCTAAACTCTAAACCCTAAACCCTAAACCCTAAACCCTAAACCCTAAACCCTAAACCCTAAACCCTAAACCCTAAACCTCTACCACACAAGAGTGTCGTAAAGCAAGCCCGGCTTCACTGGGCCACTTTGGACACCCAACCTCGTAAGGCCCACAATGAAGGCATTGTGAAGGCTCCGAATGTTTAGGGTTTCGGGCTCAGGGCCTAGGTTCGAGGTCCAGGGTTTAGGGTTTAGGGTTTAGGGTTTAGGGTTTAGGGTTTAGGGTTTAGGGTGAAGCAACCCGGACCACCTGGTTGAGGAGAAGGAGCCTTTGCTGGCCATGTGGCTGCTGAGGCAGCGGCTGGATTGAGGGCTCAGGGTTCACTGTTGGGGGCTTAGGGTTTAGGGTTTTAGGGTTTTTAGGGTTTAGGGTTTAGGGTTTTTAGGGTTTAGGGTATAAGGTTATTAGGGTTCTCCGAAAAGTACCCCGCAGGTGAAATGCAAGCTCCCAAGTCGCCGCTTACCCTTAGCCGCGTCGGCCGCGTAACTCAGCCGTTTTTGCACGATATCGCGTCCCGAGCGTCTCATGAAGACTTTCAAAACCTGCAGGTAAAACTCTAAACCCCAAACCCCTAAGCTGCAACACCCAGCGAAACCCTAATTATATACAGGGGGCCTTGAGGTTTTTTTTGGCAGTGAAGTTTAGTGATGGAGCAGCAAACACCCGCTGTACATGGCTACAGAGCCCGAAGGCCGAACACAAAATAAGAATAAGAAGATGAATAGCAATCAGAATCCTAACCACAATCATGATCAAAAATCACCATCACTACTCATAGTCAAAAATCAGCATCAATAGTAGTGAGAGTAAAATAAGTCAGCATAAGCAGCAAATCGAAGAGTTTTTTCCAGAAGGGCGAGTCATGCCAGCGTGCTGGCTGCTGGCATAACCCTAAACACTAAATAATCTTGATCCGACCTGCGTGAGCAGAAGCTGACACCGAAGGTGCTGTTTTGTGTCAGCAACAAGAAAGGGCGTTGGGGCCCTGCTTGCTTCGGATGTTCCTCCCTTATAGATGTGTGTCCTTAATCCGGAAAACCTTAATCAGGGGCCTACTGAGAAGGCGTACTGGCGCCATTTAGGCACCAAGTTGCGCCTGAGAATTCTGCAGTTTTCAGCTTCTCAGTCCGTCGACGCGCACATTGACATGCAGCATGCGTGGAGAACGCAGTTGCGCAAGGTGATTCCGTAGAAGCTCCGATCTGTAGAATATTCCATCCCACAACTAGGAGCGTACTCAGCAACATGCCAGACCATGGTCGTGCATCGCTTTCCTCATCGCCGCTGCGTCTTCCTGCTCAAAGATCACGGACATCTACACGTCCCCCAACCCCAATTCCTCAAGGCAGATCGCATGCCCCAGAACCCTTGAGCTCGAACCCTAAACTTCAGCACTTGTACCCTAAACCCTATACACTAAACCCGAAAAGCCTGATCGGCTGCTTCAAGTTCAGAAAGCTTGGCCGCCTCGTTCGGCAACGATGCAGCTGTGTCGAGGCGGTGAGCTCAGGGCTTAGGGAAGTTTAGGGTGTTTTGGGGAGTTTAGGGTTTAGGGCTTAGAGTTTTTTAGGGTGATTTAGGGTTTTTTAGGGTCAGCAACAAGGTTTTCCTTTGGGGTTATGTTAAGGATGCCTAACTTCAAAGATAACTTTCAAACTTCGAGGGGTTCAGTAATATAGCGGTCTAAAAGAATGACCTTTTTTAAGGTTTAGGGTTTAGACTTTTAGGGTTTAGGGGCTTGTACTCGTAAACCCAAAACACAACCCCCAACTTCCCCCAAGCTTTCCACTCTCCAAAGCCCTAAACCCTAAACCCTAGACCCTAAATCCCATACCCCTTACGATCCTTACGAGCCTTCAGCCTGGAGCCCTGGCGCAATTTGTACCTTAAAGGGGGTCGGAACAATTACGAGTAGTATTCCTGAAGGGTCCCTTTGAAGAGCCCAAGGAAGTCTCTTAATCGTAAGGCAGGTTGCTTGCATGTTGATGCGAGGGCGGGGGGGGTGGGGAAAATACAGCTGAGGGGATATCCCCCAATTCAGATGTCATCATGGGCCTTCCTCTGTGTAGCCCTAGAAGCTTTAGGCAGCTCTACCAGAAAAACCCTGATACCGTCTAACGCCCTAAGTCGTAAATCCTGAACACTAAACCCTAAACCCCAAACCCTATACCCTAAACCCTAAGCCCTAAACCCTAAACCCTAAGCCTAAAACCCTGAAGCAAACCCTGAACCCTGAAACCATTACACTCCAGGAGTTGCGCGGCGAGCCCTGTCACTGCCACTTGGGCTGCGGCCCGTGGCAGGCCGTCCGGGTTTAGGGTTTGGGGTTTAGGGTTTAGGGTTTGGGGTTGGGGTTTGGGGTCAGGGGTCAGGGGTCAGGGGTTAGGCGTTGGGGTTTAGGGTGGTTGGTCATGGGAGGTTTGCAGAGTGCCAGCAGGCTCCTGCGGTTTCGAGCACAGGGGGGGTTAGGGTAGAACAGCACGATGTAGCACAACCTCACGCAACACAACACCCCCCCCCCCCACTCAAGTTTGCCTGCGTCCGAACTTGCAATACTTCTTGCTGCCGGCTGCCGTTTTGACAACTTGCCGAAGCCCTACAGCTTTAGGCCCTGGATGCAGCTCTGGTAGTTCGCTTCTTGCTTCTTGCGCTCATGCTCCCGCGGCCTTCCCAGGAGCCACTGGTAGCTCCATCGCCACTTCCTCCGTTGCCACGTCGCTCTGCATCCCCAAACCCTGCACGGTCTTTCTCCACAGTTGCCGAGCCCTTCTCCCTGGAGTCTTTGTCATGATGGGGTAGCATTTTTCATGTTTAAGGGCATTTAAACTCCATAAAAAATCCTCAACCCCAAGCCCTAAACCCCAAACCTCAACCCTAAACCCCAAACCCTAAACCCTAAAACCCTAAGCTAGGAGTCGCTGCAGCAGCGTATCGCGGGGGAGGCGGGCGCCAAGGAGGACGCCCGATGCATCCTTGAAGCGCTGGCGCAGTCCGTCGGCATCTCCATCCTGCGCCTCAAGGAGTCCGCTGTAAACCCTGAACCCTAAACCCTAAACCCTATACCCCATAAACCCCTTTATAAGCCCCAAACCCTAAACCCTGGAGGAGTCCTGTCGATGCCTCTCAGAGGGCGCGGGCGAGGGATGGCTGCTTCGACGCGTCTGGCAGTTCTGTGACTTTGTAGCCCAGTGGCACCCTTTTCCCTTTGTCTTAGGGTTTAGGGTTTAGGGTTTAGGGTTTATAGGGTTTAGGGTCTAGGGTCTAGGGTCTAGGGTCTAGGGTCTAGGGTCTAGGGTCTAGGGTCTAGGGTTTAGGGTTTAGGGTTTAGGTTTTTTTTTGGGTTCAAGGTTCCCTTATAAAGTACCCAACCCCCAAAGGGTGCCCTTTTCCGTAACCCTAAACCCGAAACCCTAAACCCTAAACCCTAAACCCCCAGGTGATGAGGTGCAAGACCAGCTCCAGGTGGCGCGGGCGCCGGGAAAGAGCGCCACCGCGGCCACTTTCGCCACCTTGGCCGCCTCGCTGGCTTCGGTTCCTAGGTCGGCTCTTAAGGGATAGTCTATGTTTTCCCTTATTTGGGATTATAAGAGGATCTTATAATGCTTCGGTTCCTAGGCCCATAAGGGATCGTCTATGGTTTTCTTGCTTATTTGGGATTAAGAGGATCTTATTCAGGAATTCCCTTATTTGGGATTATAAGAGGATCCTTATTTGGGAATCTTTTTCAGAGGGGTTTAAGGGCCCTCCTAGGTTCAGAAGCGCCATGCGGCCCTCAGCAAGGAGGTGGACAGGCAGACGGAGCGAAACGAGGAGCTGACGTTGCAAGTCACCGCAGCCGCCGATGCCGAGGGCCGACTCCAAGCAGTGCTGGCCAGTCAGCAGGAGATGGTGCTTGGGGAAGAGTCTTCCGCCCAAGGCCGGGGCTACATAGATCAGGTCGCCTTCCAGCTGAAGCGCCAGCAGGCTGCCAAGGAGAGGGAGCTTGAGGTGTGCTTCAAGGAGCTTTATGACCGCACGCGCGCAGCGTGTCGTGCAGAGCAGGACGCCCTGCAGTCGAAGCTGCGGTCGATCCAGCAAGACCTGGCTGCGACTCGCGTGGAGACTTCGAGGTTGAGGTCGCAGCAGGCTGCAGTGTCCATACACACGCGCCAGTGCCTTGACGGCGGCAAGGCTGCCCTGGCCACGTTGGGTGGCACGGTGTCGGCGCGGTTCTCTCAGGTGGGCGATGAAGCGAGGACTAAGGCAGCCAAGGCAGAGGACGTGCTGCACCGGCTGCAAATGCAGCTCGCGTCAAGCAAGGAGGCAGCCGCTTGCGAGCTGGAATCCATGGGTCGCAGAGGCCTTGCGCTCAAGGTCGAAGCCGAGGCCATGAGTGACAAGGCCGCTGAGGAGACGGCCCAGCTTGCAACGGAGCTCTCGGCTGTGGAGACCCAGCGCTCCATGATCTCCCGGAATCTTTCTGACGAAGCTGGGGCGTTGGTGTCTGCACTGCGCGACGGCTTTGCCCAGGGTGCTTCACTCCAAGTGGAGGTCGGCGAGCTGCGGGCCGAGGTGGAGCGCCTCTTAGAAGCTGAGTGTGTACATTTTACACCTTTTTTTCGGGATACTACACCCCCCCCTATAACGCTGAACGTTTATACTTTTTGGGGGCAACTCAGCAGCCAAGGCCTTGAGGCCGAACTGCGAGCTGTAGCACAGGAGCGCCACTAGGTCAGCCCTTGGGATATATTTTCTTCTTTTCCCTTATTATTGGGTTTAGATCTAAGAGGATCTTACTCAGGCTTATTGGGTCTTAAGAGGATCATGTTTTTGGAACATGTTTTCAGACGGTCTTTAAGGGCCAGCCCAGGCCACTTGCTGCAGGAGGAGCACCGTGATGCCTCGGAGCGGCAGCAGCAAGCTGAAGAGGCGCTACGGAAAGCCCTGGGTGACAACGAGGTTGTTCCTCAGGGGGTGCTTGGAAATAAGTTTTGTTTTTTTTGGTTGCCATGATCCCTTAAAAAGGAACAGCTAAAATCATCGTTATAATCCCAAAAAGGAACAGCCAAAATTAGATTTTTTTGCTATAAGGTGCCAAGTTCAGTAGAGGTTCGACAGCAGATGGAAGCTCAACGAGTCGAGATGCAGTCGGCCAGTGAGGTCGCACTTCTGGAGGTCCGTGGTAGCCCAGTGGTACCCTCTTTAGGGTTTAGGGTTTAGGGTTTAGGGTTTAGGGTTTAGGGTCTATGATGATAATATGGTTACTGGGCTACCCAGAGGTCGACTCCACTGCGGCAGCTGCTTTGCACGCTGCCCTGGAGGTTGCTCAGGCAGATCTGGATGAAGCACGGGGTAGGTTTGAGCATAATCTTTAGTCTTTTTGTACCCTTAATCCCCTTATAAGGGTTTAGGGTTTAGAGTTTAGGGTTTAGAGAATCCTCATAAAGCCATGACAACTGATGATTCTAGCGCCTTATAACCTACCCAAGGAGTTGGAAGAGCTGTTGGATGCTCTGGAGAAGGAGCTGGCCGAAAACCGAGCCCGATGCTCCCAGCTCCACTTGCAGGAGGCAAGCTTGCAAAGGGACAAAGTTTCCCTGGAACGAGAGAGGTCGATGTGGAGGGCGCAAGAGGACTTGGCGCGCAGCCTGGAGTCCGAAGTCCAAGATGCCCTGAAAGACGCCCGGAAGTCCTGGGCGGAGGAAGTGCAGAGCCTCAAGGATCAGATCAGGGAAGCCACGAGGGCGAAGGAGTTGCTGGAGGCCCAGGTGCAGGTTTCCGAAACCCCCTAAACCCTAAACCCTAAACCCCAAACCCCAAACCCTGAACCCCAAACCCCCAAACCCTAAACCCTAAACCCTAAACCCCTAAACCCCTAAACCCCTAAACCCCTAAACCCCTAAACCCTAAACCCCAAACCCTAAACCCTAAACCCTAAACCCCCAGGTGCAGGATGCGCAGGCGGCAGAGCCCTTGCAGGCGGAGGCTGCGCAAGTGATGGAGGCCAGGCGCAAGGCGCAGCTCCTGGAGTCCCAGATAGACGCCAGGATGCCCAGTGGTACCCTTCAGTTCCCCTTTATATTAGATATATGTGATATATATATATATATATACTTTTTTAATACATACATACATATATATATATATATATATAGTTTGTTTCCCTTTTAATTTATATGTTTAGATGTTTGTTTTGTTTTGGGGGGGGGGGGGGCTTAGGTTCGCTTATTCAGCCCCTTTAAGCAAAGAAGGGCACCCTTGTTCATGCTAGGTTGCTGGGCAACCTAGGACGAGGTTCAAGCCCTTCACGCGCCCGTGCAGAAAGCCTTGGAGCGCCAGGCTACGGCTTCTGCTTCCGCCCAGATGGAAGTGGAGCAACAACGTCTGCAAACGCTGCAGGCAAGTAGAACCCTAAACCCTAAACCCTAAACCCTAAACCCTAAACCCTAAACCCTAAACCCTAAACCCTAAATCCTAAACCCTAAACCCTAAACCCTAAACCCTAAACCCTAAACCCTAAACCCTAAACCCTAAACCCTAAACCCTAAACCCTAAACCAGGCCAGTAGAACAATGCGGATGGAGCTGGAGCAGTTCTCTGCGCAGAGGGAGCAGGATCGAGCAGCGTTGAATGCCGAGCTGGCCTTCGAGCGCGAGAGGATGCTTCGAGCCCAAGCTTCCTGGGGACCAAACCATGCCCTTATACTACTAGAACTCTAAATGAGGTGTATATATATATATACCCTATAAAACTATAACTCCTATTAAGGTATATATATATATATACATATACCCTATACTACTACAACTCCTATTAAGGTATATATATATATATATTTGTATACATAGATATATACATATACATATATACATATATACATATATACATATATACATATATACATATATACATATATACATATATACATATATACATATATACATACATATACATATATACATATATACATATATACATATATACATATATACATATATACATATATACATATATACATATATACATATATACATATATACATATACATATATATATATATATATATATATGTATACCCTAAATACTACTATAAGTCCTATTAAGGTATATGAATCATACATGAACACTAAAAAGGGTTCATGTGGTCACCAAGGCTCACAACCGTCCTTCAGACATCCTCAGCGATGCCAACAAGGACTCCTTGCTTCGCGATAGCAGCGGCCGCCATGGTTCTGAGATCCTCGCAGCGACGCTCGAGCGCGTGAGGATCGAGGCGGAGTGCCGGCAGCGCGCCCTCGACCTGGCGGAGACTTGCTGTTAAGTAGGGAGTGAGGGAAATGAGGTACCCTATATCCCCCTATAATATGCCCTGAATATACCCTTTAAGGGACTTCTACAGGGCACCCCACTCCTTTTCCTACGAGCCAACAGCAAGGAGAGTGAGAACCGGTGGCTGAAGCAGCTTGCCAGCAGCGGAGCTAGGGCCGGCATGGTGCAGAGCCTCGATCGGATGCATCGCCGCACGGAGCAGCTGCGGCGTGACATTGGCGAGGCAGCACCCAGGAGCGATGCTTGAAAGAAAAGAAAATAAATAAGCAAGCTTTTAATAAATAAGTGAATATGTTTAGGCATATATATATATATATATGTATATTATTCAAAAAAGATAGAGTGTTGTATCGTTATATCTGGGAGTGAGCCGTGGTAAGTGGGCCGGTGCAAGCCAAAGCGTTTGCTGCTTGTAGCCTTGTAGCTGGAGCTTGTACTCCCTTCCCCCTAACAATGATAACCCCCCCCCCTAGTATTAAAATTTACCCTAAACCCTAAACACTAAACCCTAAACCCTATTCCCCTTTGAGCCGAAAAGTGGATCCCATAGTCGCCCCTTACAAAACTCAAGGGGGGTCGGAAGCCTGGAGCAGAGACCTGAAGCCTGCACTCTCCAGTTGCCCAAGCCCTGTAGGGTTTAGGGTTTCGGGTTTTCGGGTTCAGGGCAGGACGGGTTGTTTGTTCGGACCAACGATAAAACCCCCCCCCCCCCCCCTAATACGAATACGAAAACCCCTTCGGGGATTTAGAGGTTTTTATACAGGGGTGGGGGGGGGGGGGGGGAATATCAGGGGGAAGGGATGTGTCCCAAACCTTAAATCCAAAACTCTATAAGCCAGTCGACTGAATCCCTGAAGCCCTAAGTTTGGGCTGCTGCTAAGGAACTTAGAATGTGTTCGCAGAATCACGAAAGCTAGCGTAGACAGGTCTGAGGCTGGTCTCTGCTTTGTTAGTGACTCGGCCCAACCCCCCAGAGCTGTCTTTGTATTGATAATTTCGGGAGAAGGGGGTCATGAATTTGTTTTTTCTTCGCAGATTATTTTTGTAATTCACAGCCCAGTACACCTTAACTTAACTCACACATGTCGGTTTTGTTTCGGGCCTCGGGTGACCCCCCCCCCCCCCTAAGCCCTAAGCCCTAAGCCCTAAGCCCTAAACCCTCAACCCTAAAACCTAAACCCTACACCCTAAACCCTACACCCTAAACCCTAAACCCCCCCATGCTTTTGCAGGGATGGCGCGCTGTGCCGCGCCGCCCGAGCCGCCCTGCGCCTTTCCACTGCAGGCGCAAGGTTTTGGCTATATCCCCCTTGGAAGTTGTTTTTTGTATTTTTGTTCATATAAAACCCAAGAGAATTTTGATAATATGATTTCTATTAAGGTTCTAAGGGGAGTCTAGTAGGGCGTAGGCCTTGGAAGAATCTGAGGGTAGTTTTGTGGGCCCTTTGCCTCCTTTCAAGGGTTCTGATGTCTGGGCCCTGAATTCGTATAGGGCATAGAAGGGGTATATTCCACTAGTAGGGGGTCCCGTTGTAATGGCCCATATTAAGGGACCGTGTAAGTACCGGAAGAAGGAGCTTTGGGCGTTCAGGAGTTAAGGTGGCTGAGGGCTTGGAGGTTCTAGGTTTACATTTGGGTTCCACAGCGGTTCGGGGTGGCTGGTGATGGCCGTCAGTAGGTACTTCTCGGTGAACCCGAAGCCCTTCTGTAAAGACTGTAGAAGCCCTCTTGGTTGGGTCCGTGACTTTTCAAGACCACAGCCGCCTGTATGCACGGAAGAAGTCACAGAAGGGTGTGGAAGGCAAAGACGGCGTGTACTTGCAACACTCTCGATGCGAAGCCTAAACATCCTGAGCGCCGCTACGCATGAGCCGCCATGAGCCCGTAGAAATATGAGGCTCCTCCCCTGCCACAGTCTAAAGCCCTAAGCTTACGAGTCTTTAGCAGGTAGTGAATCTGAGGGTTAGGTATCTCATAAGCCCTGCAAAGCCCTTGAAGGAGAGGATGATATAGAATTATGAACGGGTAAGACAACTCCCTAGGCTCGCTAAACCTGGCATGTCCCTAATAGCTGCCCAAAGTCCTAGACTCCCTAAACCCTGAACCCAAGCTCCCTACACCCTAAACCCCAAAACCCCACTAAACCCCAAACCCTCAACTGCCTAAGCTGCCACACATTCCTCCCAAACTCGACTGGCGGCCACCGCATCCCCCAAAGCACGACAGTTGGCCCGGCTCCCATTGTGGATGCCCGAGGGTGAAGGCGGCGGCGCAGGGTGATGGGGTTTAAAATAGGAATCGGAGTAATTGCTCATATTTAGGGTTTAGGGTTTAATTACTAATAGTATTCCCTTATGGTCGCTTGATAGCTATACTACAATAACCCACCAAAACCCTATTGCAATTCTTAAGGCCCCTGTATTAGGCATCCTGCAGGCGGATTGAGGAGCCATTTTCGGGGGGCTTTGGGCCTAAGGGCTGGGGGTTGGGAGCTTCGGGGCACTTGAGGATTTGTGGGACTGTTGGGTTGGCGCGCATCTTTTCCTCGGAGGTTGGGTCTTGCCTCCATAGATTTCTAGGGTGTAGGGTTTAGGGTTTAGGTCTTTCGGGAAATAATGCGTTGCTGCCAGCTTCAGCTCCCCAACACATTCCGGACCCTGTTGTTTTCTCAAAACGCACCGTAGTTTTTGCTCACGCGGGTTTCAGCGACCCTGGGTAAACGCTAGTTTCGGCACTTCTTGGTGACTTCTTGCGGTTTTCCTGTTGGGTGGGGTGCGGGGGGGCGGGGGGATAAGAACGTCATTCATATTGCGTCCATGCCCAGCACACTGGTATTTACAGCGTTTTCGCTTCTTCGTACAACATACTGCACAAGGATGTGGAACAAGAAAATCTGTCACAAGCGTCCATGCCTTTCGCGACCAAAACCGTGCTTTCCGTGCTTGACGTCTCTGCACAACCCCAAGGCCCTAAACTTGGACCACTGCAAGACCGTTGCACCCTGAACACTCCAGCCCCCCAAAAAACATGCGAAACGCCGAACACACTGGTGGGCGTGGCACTTTTCGACATAAGACCACATTGCAGTTACCCCGTTCTACCCTGAACACTCACAAAACGCAAAACCCGAAAACGTGCAGAAATCGCAAAAACATATCCCCAAAATAAACACTGTGAAATGCTGAAAACACTGGCAGGCGTGGTACTTTTCAACAACACACCACCTTACAGTCACTCCAAGTCCTGAAAAAACAAATGCCGCCAAAAAAAACCTTTCAATGTGCGAACACTGCCCTGCGTGGGTTAAAACCACATTTCCCGCCCGCGTGACCTAGTTTTTCAACCGCTTGACGTAGAACCCTAAAAACCCCAAAGCCCTTTAATCTAAGCCTTGCACCCTAGAACCCTAAAAACCCTCCCCAAAAAGTCACAAAACTTTTGAAGCCCTACCCTAAGCCTTAGACCCCAAACCCTAAACCCTACTTGGGCCCCTAAAACTAAGGTTTGAAGGGCCCTTAGTATGGTCCCTTGCCCTTGTTGACCGAGATCCGAAGTATGGGCTTGCAAAGTGTATACAAGGGTTATGTCATAGGGTCCCCAAATCAAGGGCCCATACTTCTCACCCCCTAAACCGTAAACTCCTAACCCCAAACCCTACTGTAAACCCTAAACCCTAAAACCCAAACCCCAAACCCCAAACCCCAAACCCTAAACCCTAAACCCCAAACCCTAAACCCTAAACCCTAAACCCTAAACCCTAAACCCTAAACCCTAAACCCTAAACCCTAAACCCTAAACCCTAAACCCTACCTGGGCCCCCCCAAAAAAAGGCACCGTCGACCTGCAGCTCCCCGAGCCACATTTGCACGAGGGAGCGGCCATCGGCCCCTTCACCCGAAGCCAGGGTTTATTGTTTAGGGTTTGGGGTTTGGGGTTCAGGGTTTAGGGTTTAGGGTTCGGGGCGTGTGAAGAACCTTCTACCCGAATTCCGAAGCCCTAAACCCTAAAAGTATAATTCCTAAGCACGCCCCGAACCCTAAACCCTAAACCCTAAACCCTAAACCCTAAACCCTAAACCCTAAACCCTAAACCCTAAAAGTATACTTCCTAAGCCCTAAGCCTTATACCCCAGCATCTTGGGGGTGTGGGGTTTGGCGCGATGAGGTGTTGGGCCTTAGGGCGTCATTGGTTCGAAAGGGCTCTTAAGGTCGAAGGGTTTAGGGTTTAGGGTTTAGGGTTTAGGGTTTAGGGTTTAGGGTTTGGATGGGTTCCGACGTAAGGTTTGTGTGCCGTTTGTTGTTATGTGCGTTGGTGACAGCCAGATCCTGGTCCATGCTCTGTAGCTGTGTAGGGCTTTGCCAGGTTTTAGGGGAGCCCGAGAAGCGCAGTTCCATTAGAGTGAAACTAGGACCCGGAGTAGGCCCTTATTTCCTTTTGTTTTCGGGTTCTAGGTTCCCTGCAAACCCCTTTTAAACCAAGAAGGGCCCCTAAACCCTAAACCCTAAACCCTAAACCCTAAACCCTAAACCCTAAACCCTAAACCCTAAACCCTAAACCCTGTTGTGTTCCGAGGCCACCCTTGGGTCTAGAGGTGATACCGGGCACTATGCGTGTCAGCATGTTAGGCGTTGGGGGGCATCGGAGGTCTTGCACACTCAAGGGAAGAATAGAAGCTCCCAAATGAAGCCAAGCGGTTTAGGGCTAAGGGTTTAGGGTTTGGGGGTTTAGGGTTTAGGGTTTCGGGTTTAGGGTTTAGGGTTTAGGCAGCTAAGTCTTTATGTGCTTACCCTAATTACATGCTGAGGTTCACCTGAGGACATCACGGCTGAACCCATTCTCTGCAAGCAGCACTGGCGCGAACCTGAGCTTGTCACAGAGGCTGCACAGCAGTCTGCACGAGGAAACATGGAGGCAGTGGGAAGGGAAGTTGCTCTGTTTTTTTTCTTATCGTTCTCTCTCTCTCTCTCTCTCTCCCTCTCTGTATCTTGCCCTTTTCCCTCTGCCACGCCTTTTTGTTTCTCTCTCTCCCTCTCTCTCTCTCTCTCTTCTCTCTCTTCTCTTTGGACTGGATGATGTCACCGAGTGACGAGTCACAGGTTAGCAATGACAGGGGCATGTTATCATGCACTGCTCAGCACGCATCAGAGGTATCGACAGCGACGGCAACAGCAAGATGCGCTGAAGTCTGCAAGGGCCTCAGAATGCCTCCGAGGTATATCTTGGGAGCCCAGGGTCCTCTTGAAAGGGTTATGATGTATGGGCCTTCAATTTGTATAGCACATTGTGTAGGGTTTATAGGGGGGTAGCTACCCTAGACCACCTTTTCCCTTTTTTTGGTTCAAGGTTTCATTATCAAGTAACCAACCCCCCAAAAAAGGGCGGCCTTATTGTAATAAGGTTTCCGGGCTACCAAGATGCAGAGTTGAGGGACCTTAAGAGCTCATCGGGTTTAAGATATTGGGCGGGCTGTTTCCATGAGTTCCTTTGGCTGGCCGTCCCACACCGAGGTCGAAAATGCGTCGCCTTCCGACTGCGGGCCACGCAAGATTCACTGGAAGTGGTGCGCCAAACCAAGCTGACTTGACAGTTTGGTCCGTTTCGAGAAGCATACCGCAGAGGTGCTGTGTTACAGAAGTGGTGCGCCGCGGGAGACCAGTTGAAAAGTCAGAAACCAGCCCGCGATTCAGAACATCTAAGAAGCCAGGGCGAATCAGAAACAGCAAATCAGAAGCTGGCCGCGTCAGAAGGCAGCGCGCATCAGAATCTACGCATCAGCAATCATGCATCAACGGGGGGGGGGGGGGACGGGGCTGCTGAGCTCCGTTTCCGATTCGTTCTAGCTTCCGATTTTGTCATGCTGGTTTCCGCTTCAGCCCTTCTGGCTTTCGATTTTTCCGTCCACCCATCTTCGATTGTGCACCAGATTGTCTAAGACCAAGGTTTGTCCCCAGACCCCTGGGAGGATTCCAAAAGTGTCGATCTCCTGAAGGGTTCCTGAACATGACCCAATACTATATCCCCCTCGGGAATTAATGTTTCTTTTTGTTCATAAAACCCAAGAGGATATTTTAAAGTTATATTGTTATTCAGGTTCTAAGGGGAGTATAGAATAGTAGTGTAGGGTACTAGTTGGGCTCTGCTTTGCGGATCCTCCTAAGGGTCTGGGTCTATAGGGCACCCAAGTATTTCCAGCCCTACACCCGATATAAAGCCTAAAGCCTAAACCCTAAACCCTAAATCCTAAACCCTAAACCCTAAACCCCACGCACAGGTACCGCGACCGCCGCATCGCCATGCGAAGGAAGAAGCGTGTCATCTGAGTGGCGTGAAGTGTCGTGCTCCGGCTCCTTAAGCTGTTCGGCACTACGTGGAACCCTAAACAGGATTGAGGGTTTAGGGTTTAGGATTTAGGGTTTAGGGTTGAGTCCGGGTTGAGGTTTTAGGGCACAACGTGGAACCCTAACAGGTTTTATAGTCCTACCGGCAGCAGCACAGCAACCGGAACCTGGAAGGGGGAAGCCACAAGCGTACCCGAGCCCAAAGGTGTTTGATCAGGACAAGTGCACGTGGCACTACTTTCTAGCATGGCCGCGATGGTGTCAAGAGTCTTCGTCGCTGCCAGTCATAAAAAAGAGCCAACAGCAGAGAAACTCCGAGTTGTGGGAAGCTTGGTCGCCTGGGGGGGGGGGGTTTAGGGTTTAGGGTTTAGGGTTTAGGGTTTTTGTGTCTCAAATTTGAGTTGTCACATTCAGCTGATGACGTGCGGGCTGTCGTTTTGGGTCGATCACTTGGAGGGCATCCGTATCGAAGTCGTTCCTCCCCCACAGTTTCTCCCAAATCGAAGCCGTTCCTCCCCCACATTTTTCCCAATTCAAGAAGCACTGTGCAAGCTTGAGTCTTGAATTTTCTGAGCAGGCGCTTTCGCTGGGGAGAGACGACCCGCCCAGAGGCAAGCTCCTTTGCAGGTCTACAGGTCTGGCACGAATATGCCTTCAATTATATAGGGATCCTTAAACTGATTGTTCCTTATTTAAGGGGTATTGCGCTTTTTGGGAGCTCTATATGTAAATCAGAAGAGGGTCGTTCTCCGGTCACATGGCGCTGTTGCAGTGAAATCGGTTGAGATACTACCTACGACCTACTACCTGCTACCTATCACGACTATGACTCCTGACTACCCTGACCTCCAGGGTGGCGGCTACGCGAAGCGCGTGGCCCTGGCTGTGTCTGAGCAGCAGGGCACTCCACCTGGCGGGTGCTCCTGGCGTGTACTCGGAGAAGATGGTCCAGCATAATCACCGTGCAAAGTACATAGACGGTAGCACATAGTACAAAGAACATGGCATATGGAGAACGGTAGCATGTAGTATGATGTAGTATGTCGCAAATTGTAAATGGTGTGTAGAGTACACAGTATATATTGTATACCGTATATTCAGTCTGCAGTGTGCAGTGTACAATGCATTCGAACATCATAGCACTGTAGTATGGATTCTAGTAGTACCTATAGCATTGAGAGTGTTAGCAGCCGGATAGTTGCGTTGTGCTTTGTTGGCTACGCACCTGCATTTCATTCAAAATATACGGAGAGCATCAATTATCTCATGTTATGGCCATTTGCCCTTGACGTGGATGATTTTGGATGATGCGCTGCAGCTCTTTCTCTCGACTATCAATCCATAGTCTTGCCGAGCAGCCTGGTGCATGGCTGCCGTACATGTGAGGCAGGGTGTGGTGCAGGCCAGCCCCATCATGTTTGCACCCCCTGCGCCTGTCCTCCACCAGCGCGTGCCATCCCCAGGCGCACCCGCGGTGAGGGGACACAGAGCTAGGAGCAACTCACCGGCCGCTGCCTGGGCCGAGACGGCTCAAAGAGCACGGCTCGTGGCAAAGGCGCAGGCAGATGTTTGCGTTGCGGTCGCCCGGGCAGCAACTGGCCCCCAACACCAAAATGGCAGCCCGAAGCATGACTGCTCCCCGCGAATACTTCAGCAGCCTGCAGTCGTGGCACACAAGGTCGTCCGGCAGCAGTCGTTCTCTCCGCGGGTTGCCCAAAGGGCGCTGCAAAGAGCTGCATCAGCTCCACCGGCCCAGGAGAACGGTCTGTTTCAAGTAGCTGGAGCTGCGACGCCCGCTGCGTCCCCTTACACCGGGCACCGGGCCGTGAAGGGCGCCCAGCCCTCGAAGCCCACGCACGCCACACCCCGCGGCCTGCCCCAGCCATCTCCCGGCCGGCCGCCGGTGCCGGGCTGCGTGAGCCCCGCAAGCCCAACAAAGTCGCCGGCCAGCCCAGGCAGTCCTGGCGGCCCAGGCAGCCCTGGCGGCCCAGGTAGCCCGGGCGCCAGCCCGGGCGGCATTAAGCGTGCCTCCTCGGCCTATCCTCGCAACATCTTCGGCATGGAGCGGGCTCCTGCAGGGCGCAGGACCCCGTCGCACACGCCCACAGCAAGCCCGCTGCAGCACCACCGGGCGACTTGGACTGCAGGCTGTAAAGGACTCGGTAGGGCGACTAAAGCACACGCCTGTATAATACAAGGGCGCACTTGGCCAAAGTTTGGGGACTATCTGGTTCGGCCTACATGCTATAATATATATATATATATATATATTATAATATATATATATATATATATAGTACACAAACATCCGTATATATGTATGTGTGTATATATATATATACACATGTTTTTGCATGCCCGTATGTAGGTGTATGTACAGTGTTTAGAAGTAGCCACCGACAGAGTCCAGTATTGCTCAGGACGTGGCGATGGTAAAGGCCTCCTCCACTCCGCGCCTGCCGTACCGCAACGTGCGGGAGCCGTCGCCTTCGGGGCAGGTGGGCGTTTCAGTCGGGGTGGATATAAGCTTGGGGTTTAGGGTTTAGGGTTTAGGGTTTAGGGTTTAGGGTTTAGGGTTTAGGGTTTAGGGTTTGGGTGTAGGGCTTAGGGTTTAGGGACATTTGAAAAGTAGAGTCATTAGCTCTTTGTAGGGCAGGTCTGAGTCATGGGCATTTTTTGTGGGTCTAGGGTTGAAAGGGCTCAAATTCCAGTAATCATCGCAAGTACCTACGAGGGCTCATCGTTCCGAGCAACCACCCCAAGAAGACGGCGCTGCGATGTTGCAGGCAGTATGTGGGAGTAATGCGACCTTCTGCTTGTTCAGATATGTCCCTTGAAGCCCGTTTCATCACAGACCAATCCTCCTCCTTACCCCCGTGCATCCTGCCAAACTCAAAATATGAGAAACCCTAAACCCTAAACCCTAAACTCTAAACCCTAATGTGTCAACCAATACTTATAGCAGCTAGAAGGCCACCCCTCGGTGGCTGTGCTCCCCACGCGGCCGTCAGGAGGACTCACCTTTGTTACAAGGATTGTGGTAGCCCAGGTTCAGGGTTTAGGGTTTATTTAGGGTTTAGGAAATATAGGGGTCGGAATAATTACTAATCATGTTCCCTCATGGTCCCTTATAAATATACTACAATACCCCCCTAAGGCCCCTATATTAGCCCAGTGGTGCCCGTTTCGCTCTCTTCTTGGTTCAAGCTTCTTGTATAGCGCAATCAAGCCAAAAAAGGGTGCACTTATTATACTATGGTTACTGGGCTACCAAGAGGATTGTGGTAGTTGCAAAGTCTTCTTTTGCAGGGAAGAGCGGGGGGAGCACTTAGCTTTTTAGGCATATTGCACTAATCGTAAAATCGAAAAAAGGACCCGCCATGAAGGTTTGAAGCGTAGATGATGAGGCGTGCGCAATTCATGGCTTAGGCTTACGTTTTCGTTCAAGGAGGGACAAAGTAAGGCAGACTTTTCCACTGTTTGCCGGAGTTTCTCAAAGCTTGCAAGGTTTTGAATTCCTTGGCACCCAGTGGACACAAACCTAACGATAAACCTCGAACCCCAAAACCCGAGCCAAACAAAAGAGCCCAAAGCCAAGAGACCTGAGACCTGAGATTGCAAACCCAGCAACACAAAGATCCAAAAATAGGAACACCCAAGTTCAAACACCATCAACACCCCGGACTGGTGAGGAGCTCGAGCGGGAGAAGCGTGCGCACCCCAGAATTCTTGAAAACCCTTGCACGCATGTAAATAAACAATATATATATATATATATATATATATATGGTACCCCCCCCCTCAAAACCTACCTTTTCATACCCTTTTCTATGTCGAGACGTTATGTTTATGAAATTCGAAGCCGGATGTATATGTATATATATATATACATCCGATACGAAATATTAAATACTTAGAGACTCCAATAAAAAATCTCCAGGGCCAGGAGTTTTAAAACTCTTCTTGTGGCTAAGCAAGGAGTTTTAAAACTCGTGGCCCCGAAGATTGAAGATTGAAGATTCCCCAGAACTCTTTCCAGGCATCTTCAATCTTCAATCTTAGGGGCAGGGGGTTTTAAAACTCCTCTTGTGGCTAAGCAAGGAGTTTTAAAACTCGTGGCCCCGAAGATTGAAGATTGAAGATTCTCCAGAACTCTTTCCAGGAATCTTCAATCTTCAATCTTCGGTGGCATGAGTTTTAAAACTCCTCTTGTGGCTAAGCAAGGAGTTTTAAAACTCCCGGCCCCGACTACTTGAGATTGAAGATTCCCACAAAGAGTCCTGAGACATCTTCAATCTTCAATCTTCGGTGGCAGGAGTTTTAAAACTCCTCTTGTGGCTAAGCAAGGAGTTTTAAAACGCCCGGTCCTGAAGATTTTTCTTATGGTTAAAAATATCTTACAAAACTATAGGCCATGGTATTATATATTGAAGCACTGAAAGTGGTTCCATTATATGTGCACAATTTCGACGCGCAGCTTGGGCTATAAACGCGCAGTTTCCAGCCATAGCATACTCCTCATGTCGGCCGTCAACATGAAGGTTGCGTGCGCGTTTAGGTTAATTGTAATCCTATATGGGTTTATAGTAAAGGTTATGTGTTTCAACTTAATTGCAGGCTTAGGTTCAAAATCATATATCTTAAACCCTAAACCTTTAAACCTTAACCCTATAAAGTTTCCAGGTTGCAGGTTTCGTTTAATTACACGTCAAGGTTTAAATACATATATCTTAAATTCTAGACCTTGAACTAACGCTTAAAGTTTAAGGGTTTCGGTGTATTTGCAGGTCAAGATTTAAATGCCTATATCTTAAGCCCTAAACCTTTAAATCTTAATCCTACAGGGTTTAAAGGTTAAAGAATTGGGCTTATTTGTTTAATCCTATAGGGTTTCGGGGCTTTTCGTTAAAACTCTAAATCCTGGATCGATAGGGGTTTAGAGTGCCTATGTCTTAAACCCTATACCTTTAAACCTTAACCCTGCAAGGGTTAAAGGTTTCGTGTTTCCGTTGAATTGTAGGTCAAGGTTTACATGTCTGAAATTCAAATCCTAAACCTTTAAACCGTAACCCTATAGGGTGTTTAAAGATTAAGGGTTGAGGTTAAATTGCTTAACCCTATAGGCTTGGGGTTTTGGGGCTTCTCGTTAGAATCCTAAACCCTGGATCGATAGGGTTTTGGAGAATAAGCCCTGACAATACCCTTAAACAAACCCAGAACACGCAGTGGAGTGAAGTGGAGGGGAGTGGGGGAGTGTTTTTTGGTCCTACTTATTTTGGAAGACCGACCCCTGGCGCCCTCTCCCCTTCTATTTAGAAGCAAATTAAGTCCTTATAAGCAAATTTGTTACGTTGGAGATTGAGTGAGTACACAGATTACGTACCAACTCATACATACATATAAAGCCAATACACAGTATGAATATGCATGTGAGTATTGCAACACTACGACGACTTCAATCTTTAATTTGAGGGTCGATTCAAAACAGAATCGGCCGATTCAAATTTGAATCGGACATATTTCATCATTATAGGGGAGCCCGCTCTTTAGGACTTAGCGAGAAGGATTTAGGGAATAGGCGTTGAAGTGGGGAGCATCCCAAAGCTTAGTCCCCAAATCCTATTTTCTAAGGGGGCGCAAATCTTATCGCTAAAGCTTTAGCGTTAGCGAGAAGATTTATTGAGCAAGGTTGGCTTTTGTATGTGGGGGGGGGTCTCATTTTTGGGGATTTAAGGCTACTTAAGATTCCCTCTTTAGGATTTGGTGACTCCCTCCCACCCCTCTTCCCTTCCCCAATATGATTTAGGGAGTGAAAGTAAGGGATAAGATTGAGGGATCCTTCTTTGTTGACTTTAGCGATAAGATCTACTGAGTAAGGTTCTTTGTTTATGATGTAGACGGAGAGGCTCATCTTTAAGATTTAGAGTAAGGATCCCCCTCTTTAGGACACCCCTCTTTAGGGCTTAAGCAATAGGATTTAGAAAGTAAAACTAAGGAATGCTTTTTAGGATTTAGGGGATCTCCTCTTTAGGGTTTAGCCCCCCTCCCCCGCCCCCCACCTTTAGGCCTTAGGGAGTTAATTTCAGGGAACCAGATCTAGGGATCCCGATAAGATTTTATCCGAGCATCTGTTTAATTGGTGGGACCCCCCACCGCAATAAGAAAGGCAGGGCACTGCAATAATGAGACCATGGCAATGTATGCATTCTCTATTAAGCACAATAGGAATGTATTGTAGTTTCGCCGATCCAGACTGCAGCTCAGCAATCAAAAACGAAGCCTGCAGACAGATTTTTGAACACCCCCGGAAAATATTCATTCACTGTGGCGGTATTTCCCCATACGGAAACCCCCGTAATGGAGGTAGTAATTCTCTTTTAGAATTCAGAGGCTCTCCTCTTCAGAATTTCAAGACTTCCCTCTTTAGGGCTTTGGGAAAAGACTTAGGGAGTAAAATCATGGGAATATGATTTAGGGATCCCACCCTTTAGGATTTAGCGAGAAGATTTAGTGAGCCATTTAGTGACCCACACGCCCCCTCCCCCCCCGCCCGCCCCAGATTTAGGGACTGGGGGAATATGATTTAGGGAATACGATGTAGGAATCCCGTGCTTTCGGATTTAGCGAGCAGGATTTTGGGAAGAGGGTTTATGCAACAGAAAATTGTGTGAATAAGGTCAAAGGATTTATGGAGTCGGTCTCATCTTCAAAGCGTTTTGATGTCACGCAAGTGTAGAAAATTAGAAAACGGTAGGTTTTGGAGGGGGGGGTAGCATATATATATATATATGTATATATATATATACGTTTATATATATATATACACACACGGAAGTTCGTAGTTCAGACATTCACATTTGGTTCGGCTACTGACTTCGAGATCTACTTTCCATGTAACGACGTGCTCTAGAACTGGGAGGTGTTGGTAGAGGATAAGACGTTCCCCAGAACGGCTTCTCGCTTCAACCACTGCCATGATGAGGCTTAGCATGTACAACTTGGGTCAAGACCTCCTCTACAGGTTAAACCGAAGAATGCTGCACGGGCTACAAAGGGGCTTCATCATCCAGAGCTACAGAAAGTAGGTTCGGATGCCCAGGGCCTCAGGCGCAAGCCTTACGTGCTAACCCCAAACCCTTCCAAGAAGAAGCGGCCGCCTTAACCTCTCGACCTTGAGATCAACATTCACGAAACCTAAAATTCCTCAAGAGGCCTCAACCCCAAAGCCCTGAACCCGACGCCCAACAAAATGAACCAATCTCAGCAAGCCTCTAAGCCAAAGCCCGAAATCCTACATCCCCAAGCAACCCTGCACCTATACCCTAAACTCTTGCAGCAAAAACCGACAAACTTTCAAGAAGGCGCCCAAGAAGAGCGCCTACGCCGACTGGAGGTCGAGACCCGGGAGGCACGTACGCATACGCACGTGCGTTTAAGGCTCAGGGTTTATAGGACTCATAGGACTTATAGGTATAGAAAAGGGTTTAGGCTCGCAATGTTTCGAGCCTTTAAGGCGTATCGCTCCAAGGCATCCGAGAACTGCGACGTGCTGCTCCACATGCCCTGTAGGATCTGAACCACAAACATGGGCTTGGGGTTTTTGTGTTAGGCAAACTCCGTACCCTAAACCCTAGTGTCCGCAAAGCTGTCCCATTAGTAGTGGTAGCAAAGTCGCGATTGACAGGGAAGGGATGGAGGTCTGTAAGGAAGGGGGAGGAAGTTCAGCATGGGATTATGCAAGTTCGGCATTGGATCAATCCATGCAGGTGTAGATGAGTTTGTCTGCACATTTTCGTTTTGGGTTTCCTCCGCTACTAGATTGTGTGAAGTTCTTTTGCAGGGGGCAGAGTGCAGTATAAACCTTGAGGTGGTCCGGCATCATGCTGCCGCTACTTCAGACTCGAGCCCTGTGATTTCTTGAGTGTTCTGTTGTGTGCGAAGCTCTCGTGCCCATGGCTTCCAAGGCCATCGTGATCATTTGCTCTTTGCTGGTTGTTGACCCGGCTTGCGCAACGCGCGTGCGGGACTTGAACTCCGATGCCAGTACGGAAGGATGCAAGCTGAACCATTCACCATGTGGCTACGCCCGCTGCTACAGCCTCCACTGGCCTTCTGCCAAGGGGGCCAAGGAGTGCTGCGCACAGCAAGGGTACACGGTTTGCATGAAAAACTACGAGGAAGGCGTCGGCAATTTCTACGTCAAGCCTGACGAGATTGGCAAGTGTGGCAATGATGCAAAGTACGAAGCGCCAGATTCAGCTTGCGAGGAGATGGTGAGCTGGGACGTCCGCGCCGGCAAAATCGTGAAAAAACATATTCCCACACTGGACGAGGAGGACGAGGACGAGTGAAGCCCTCCCGTCTAGGACGAGCGAAGCCCTCCCGTCCAGCCGTGTGAGGCCGACTGAAGTGATTGAAGGCCATTGGAGGAAAATGGCATTCAACCTTCTCACAAAACCCGAATCTTCAAATCCTCAACTGCAAGCCGCAGAGACCCCACCCCCGCCAAAGAGGTGGTCAGACCCCGAAGCCCTGTTACGGAAGGATAGAGCGTGCCCGAAAAGGCCGCCACCAGGCAAAGGAAGCTCAATCTTTTGTAGATTCGGATACGGGGGGACCCGAAACTGCAAAACCGCAAGGAATCGCATAAAGAAAGTGGAGAGAGAGATCTGGGGCCCATAAGTCGAAACCGTGAATCCTCAAGATCTGAACCCTCTACATCCCCCTTGGGAATTGTTTTTGTTAATTTTTGTTCATATAAACACCCAAGAGGATATTAGACATATTATTTTAATTCAGGTTCTAAGGGGAGTATAGGGGAGTACAGCCCTGAAAGCCTCAGATTCTCCGGTGCAGTGAAGGCCCGCCAGCGAATCCAACAGCGGCTCCAGGCCGTGGAAGACCACCAGGTCAGACGTGGCATAGGCTTTAGGCTTTAGGCTTTAGGGTTTAGGGTTTAGGGTTTAGGCTTTAGGCTCCTGGGTTTAGGGTTTAAAAGGGTTTTCGGGTGTAGGGTTTATTAGGGTTTGTTAGGGTTTGAGGTCTAGGGTTTCGGGTTTACGGTTTAGGAAGGACGATATGGACGATGATCTGGTGTATGGGGGCCTCATTTCAGGGGTAAGGGCGGGTTCTGGGAAACTGGGGGCTTTCGGCTTTTGGGGCTTAGGATTTGGAAAGCTCTTCAAGTACCAAGTACCACCGCTAAGACACCCTCATCTAGAATCATCCGATAGCAACAGCAGTTTCAACAATGATAAGCCCCCCCGCCCCCGAGGAGCCACCTCAAGTACCAGATAAGATACCCTTAAGAACGATAGCGGTAATTGTAAATAACAACAAGCAGATTCATCATCATCATCATCATCATCATCATCATCATCATCATCATCATCATCGTCCTCATCAGCATCAGCATCAGCATCAGCAGCCGGTTTCCATCACAGTAATAATCGGCTCGAAGCAAGAAGTCTGAACATTATGAATACTATATCACAAGGAACAAGAGGCAGCATGGTGCCCTTCAGCCTACTTGGGGTTCTTGGGAGGTTGGGGGGGGGGGGGGCAGGTATAATGTCAAGGAGGTAACACGGCCCTTAACATTCAACAGGTTCCGATGTATGTGCCTCTGGGTTGCACAGGGTATATAAGGGGTGTATAGGGGAACTCAGGGGTTCGAGTTGTTGGCAGTGGGGCCCTTTTTGCTTCTTTGGGGCTTTCGTCCTTGTAAGAAAGTTCCCTAAACCCTAAACCCTACACCCTAAACCCTAAACCCTCAACCCTGAACCCTAAACCCTAAACCCAGAGCTGTCGCCCCAGAAGGCCTACGTCCGGCAGCTGCAGAAGCCTGCGCCCGACAAGGCGCTGCCCGCGCTTCGGGTTTGGGATGTCGCCCAATGCCCGGGTTCAGGGTTTCGGGTTTAGGGTTCGGGTTTAGGGTTTAGGGTTTGGGGTTTAGGGTTTAGGGTTTACGGTTTACGGTTTACGGTTTAGGGTTTAGGGTTTAGGGTTCAGGGTTTCGGGTTTAGGGCTTAGGGAACCCGAAAACCCTTAGGAACCCCCATGAGCCCCCTATGAGGTCCTGTGAACCCTTCACTGTTCCCTATGAACCCCTAAGAGCCCTATGAACACGAACCCCTCAGAGCCCTACGAACCCCTACGAACCCCTATGAGCCCTGTGAGCTGTGGGAACGAGCCCTATGAACCCTAAGCACGCAGTCAAAGCCCCATCGTCTAAGAGGGACTTGGGTTTTGCCGGCAGTGAGTTTCCCGTTGCTTTGGGGTTCACAGGGCTCTTGGGCTTCACGGTGTTCCTGGGGTTTAGGGTTTAGGGTTTCGGGTTTAGGGTTTAGGGTTTAGGGTTTAGGGTTTAGGGTTTAGGGTTCCTTAGAGTTCTATGGCTCATAGGGCTCCATAGCGATCATAGGATTCCACAGGTCTAAGGGTAGTTGCACGGGCCCTGAATATGGTCCCTGGCCTCCTTCTAAAAGGGTTCTGATGTATTGGCTCTTGGGTTGTATAGAGTAGATAAGGGGTTTATAAGGAGTCCCCCTTCTAAGGGCCCATATTAGGGGCCCATGTAACTACCCTAAGGAGGTAGACCCTAAACCCCAAAGCAAACCCTAAACCCTAAACCCTAAGTTCCATAAGGCTCCACAGGGTTTACAGGGTTTTCGGGGCGCCAGGAGCCGCTACCCAGCCCTCAGCAGCCCAAGAGGGAGGTTGCGCAGGCCGGCAAAGGGCTTCAAGGGTTTTCGGGCTTATAGGTTTTTAGGTTTAGGGTCTATGGGGTTTAGGGTTTAGGGCTTGCGGGCTTAGACGGTCTAACTTTAGATTGTGTAGGGTTGATACGCTCAATCGTTTGGTTTCTATATTTTTCCTGCAGGGTTTGTAGGGTTTAGGGCTGAGGATTTTTGAAGGGGTTGCCGCTGGTCGCGTGCGGGGGTTGTTCTAGATCATGGGTCCTCTGCAGGTACTCGTAATACTGTTACTACCGAACCCCCAAACCCTGAAGCCTAAGAAACGTCGGCCCCTATATTGAGGGTACGAAAAAAGTCAAAAAAAGTAGCCATAATTTTGAGAACTGACCATATCGCTTTCAGGCTTGCAGGATTTACAAAGTCCAGGACATCCGACAGTTTTCTTGGGCAGGCGCCCAAGACGCCGGAGGTGGCAAAGCGGAAGCCCTGCAACCTCGCTTGGCCAGCGCCCTCAGAACGCCTGGTTGCCTCGCTCGGGTTCTATACTGGGTGGGGGGGGGGGGGGGGGGCGGGGGAGGATCGGCTTGGAATCCCATGTGTTTGTAGTTTTGCTTTGGGTAAATGGGGGGAATAGGGCTTGTAGGACTTGCGGAATTTATAGGGCTTGGTCAAGGGATCGGGCCTCAAGCCCCTCAAACGTACATCGCCCCAAGCACGAACGTCAAAGCCTGAACCCCAAATCCCTAACCCTAAACCCTAAACTCAGGGCCTAAACCCTACCCCAAAGCCCCAAGCCCCAAAACACCAAAAGCCCAAACCCTAAACCGAAGCACCCCCTTAAACCGAAGTCCACCCTCAACCTTGCGCCGGCTCTTAAAGGCTAATGATGAAGCTGGACGGCAAGAACAAGGCCAGGGGTTTAGGGTTTAGGGTTTAGGGTTTAGGGTTTGGGGTTTGGGGTTTGGGGTTTAGGGTTTGCAGGGATGCACCGCGCATGGGGGAACTTAGGGTTCAGGGCCCTTTGTTTTACCCCCTTATTTTGTGTAATATCTGTGTTTTCCCCACCCTCTCGGTGTGGGGTTGTTAGATTTTAGGCTCGACTCTTCTCCTTGCCCGGTCTCAAGGGATTCAGACTCGGACCCCTAAGGTTGTACCCCTAAAGGTTCCCCTTAATATACTCCTAATATGGCCCTTATATTCCCTGAGGGATCCTTAAAAAGGGATCCCAAAACCCAAGGGTACAACCTTAAGGGTCCAAGGTAGAACCCCTAGAGTCTACTCCTCGGCCAACCCCAGGGTGCGCAACCCCAGAGTGTTCCTAGAGTGCCCCACCCCAAAGTGTCCCTGGAGTGCCCAACCCCAGAGTGTGCCTGGAGTGCCCAAACTTCAGAGCATCTCTACCCACAGAGGGCGGGGATGTTCGAAGTTGTTTATACATATATATATATATATATGTTTTTTTACTGGGGGGGGGGAAGGGCCCTGTAGAACAGTACCCCAACATTTTAGAGCTTAGGCTTTTTCACTTCAGGGTTCACCCTAAGCTTGGTTCAGACCCTAAACTCCTAAAACCCCGAAACCCTAAACCACAGCCCCACAAGAACCCGCACTGGTAGATCACTACCCAAACCTCAAGAGGGGTTGCTGGTAACGGGCTTAAACGAAGCTATCATGATAAGGAGATGAAAAGGTTGCCGGGGGATATAGAGCACCTCATTCCCCCATTCTCTACGAAGAACCAGTCAGTAAACCCTAAACCCTAAACCCTAAACCCTAAACCCTAAACCCTAAACCCTAAACCCTAAACCCTAACCCCTAAACCCCCTAAACCCCCTAAACCCCTAAACCCTAAACCCCTAAACCCCTAAACCCTCTGCGTCAGGAAAAGCCAGGCCGAGGGAGCCGAGACAAGTCGCAGGCTGCGAGATTTACAATGGATTTGGGAGTCCTGTGGTTTAGGGTTTAGGGTTTAGGATTTAGGGTTCAGGGTTAGGGTTCAGGCTTCAGGGTTCAGGGTTTAGGGTTTAGGGGTTTAAGGTTGGGATGTTCCCCTCCCTTATACTAACGGTCCCTACAGTAATGACAGTCCTTCATAGGGATGAAAGTAGGGGTACTCCAATTACTAGAATCCCTGTTAAGGATCACAAGTTTAGGGTTGTGTCTGCTTCGGGTGCTGAATTGAGGTCCAGGCCGACGTTTGTCGGGGCTTGCGGCTGAGGTTAACGGATTGGGGCGCGGCCCGCTGTGAAAATGTGCGCCTTTCATATGGGGATTTCCGAAAATGGGGGGTACCGCTTAAAAGCACCAAAATACGGTATAATCCTTTGAATCGATTCCCTAAAACCCCAACCCCTGAATCCAGCATCTTGGCCCCCTAAACCCTAAGCTAACCCTAAACCCCAAACCCTAAACCCCCAAAACCCCCCGACTCGAGGCTTCAGACTCAGAGGAGGCCGAGATCGGGCGCGATCCCCGGTGCAAGGGATGAAGACTCGTATAGCACTTCGAGGTTCATGGTACTTAACCAATTGTAACTGTACGTGTTTTAGGTTTAGGGTTTAGGGGTTTAGGGGTTTAGGGGTTTAGGGGTTTAGGGGTTTAGGGGTTTAGGGGTTTAGGGGTTTGGGGGTTTGGGGGTTTGGGGGTTTGGGGGTTTGGGGGTTTGGGGTTTGGGGTTTATACTTATAACTGTACTTATAACCATATTGGGGCACCGAGTAAACTCCATAAAGTTGGAACATGGTTTAAGGACGATTAGTGCTGGGATTCCCTTTAGTAACCCTCTTGGGGGTCTAAGGATAATGATGTTCCGACTTTTGGGAGTTTACTGTACCCCAATGTCGGGACCCCAAACACCACATGAACGTAAGGATGCTGCAAGTAGGGTTTTTTTCGGAATCCCCCGGTATGGGGGGGGGGGGGGGGCCCTTATACCCCAACAGCAGGATCCTTCTGCGTGGTTTTTGGAAGGCCCTCCGAAGGTTGTAGACCTAGAGGTGCCCCTTAATGCACTCCTCATATGGCCCTTAGATGTTATTAGGGATCCTTACACAGGGGGCCCAAAACCGAAGGGTACGACCTCAAGGGTCCAAGGTAGAACCCCCAGACCCGCTGCATGGTTTGCTTGAGGGCCTTGAGGAGTTTAGGGTTCAGGGTGGTGCAGGGGCCAGGGCTTAGGGGTTAGGGTGTACCCTAAACCCTAAACCCTGCTTTGCTGTCCGAGGCTGGATGAAATCCAGAAGGAGAAGAAGGCAACGCTCCGTGACCCTGAGACCCTCTTAAGCCCTCAACCTTCGAATGGGTAGATCTCTAGCCCTCAACCCTAAACCCAGAGCCCTAAAAATTTCCTATTTCGGTCCCCTTGACCCTCAATAATGGTACCTTTTGAGGTCCCCTATTCAAGCGGGCACCCTTAACAAGGACCTCAAGGAAGGACACCCGAATTGAAAGAACGACCCACATGCTTGACTTGCCCAGTAGGTGGACCAAGGGTTCAGGGCCTAGGCATTGAAAGCTCTGAGCCGTAAAGGCAGTCGACTGTTGAACTGAAGATCCTGAGCCCCCGCCCCTTAGCCTGCGAACACGAAGCCGACCTAAAGCCTAGCCCGAGACCCCGAGGCCCGAATCCGCAGGATTACCAAAGGGCCCCACATAAAAAAATTGAGATCAACGACACGAATGCCTGGGGTTGAGGGTGGGGCCTCTGAAGCCCTTTTGACTTCGCGATTGGGCTGGGATTGGGCTGTGGGGTTTGCCTGCTGGCAGCCCATTACAGCCCCCAGACCCTGAAGCCCTAAACCCTAAACCCTGAACCCTATACTTCTGACAGGTTGGTGCCGGGAGCTTCGGAGCCGTATGGAAGGCGGCCTCCCACACGCAACAACATCAAAGAAGCCCAAACCCAGCACACCTTGCATCTCGTATCTCACTCAACTGCACCCCCGGATACCATACCCGGTAAGGTCTACCACCCACAACCCCTCCAAGCCCTCTATAACGAGAACCCTAGACCCAGCTTGTGCGCATGATTTCGAGTTTGGGGTTCTGGGCTTGTCCGGAGTGTCGGAAGCATGTTATGTAACATAGTAAATTGGGAGGCGTCGCCACATCTAGAGCCAAATGCTAGGAGGAACATCACAGTTTCTGCAGGAGACAGTCTACCCCCAAGGCTTTCAACAGTTTTTCTAGGATTCTAGGACGTCCTTTGCACAAGCTTATGATTGCGTCCCAGCAGCATGGAAGTTTCGAAGTTCCTGAGCATCTGATGCTTTGCAGAGCGGGGGAGATACTTGTACAGAGATTGTTCACACAGAATGCGATCGTACGGAAGCCAGGGTTGTACGTATCAAGGGACTAAATGAGGTGCCCTTATTTCGGGGCTACTTAGGTATATAGGAACTGTACAAGGTACATATAGGGGTTATGTAGGAGAATAAGATTAGGGTCCCTCCTTATACCCCTTCAATGTATGTGGGGAAAGAGGGAGCGAGGGATAGGACGGACCAAGCCTTTAATGTGAGGGTGGCCCCATAAGCCCCTGTACACCCTACAAACCGTACAATAAGCCCCGTAAGTATCCTACACCCCAAACCCTAAACCCCAAACCCCAAACCCTAAACCCCAACCCAAAATAAGCCCTGTAAGCGCTACAACTCTGGCCCGCGCGGAGGCCAAGTGCCGAGGGCGCGACGTTGCCGTGAAGCCGGGACCCCGGCGTATGTCGCGCAGGCATATCATATGCGGGGTGGGGGAGTGGGGTGGTTCGGGCTTCAGGTAGGTTCCCCAATCGAGGGAGTCTCCGCATCTGCAATCTGCAAGTTCAGGGATTGGAGTCCGGTCTTTGTAGTGCTGTGAAGACCACAAGTGTTGCCGCAAGTTGATTCGGAAGTTGAGTTTTGGGCTGCCAGGCTTCATGCTGCGCATGTGTGCAGGTGCGTGTGTGTCGTCACGTATATGCGTCTCGCTGTGAAAGACGAAGTGTATGGCCCATACGATGCTTCGTTTATGCACACAGACACACATGCATACATATGGGGGGTTTACGAAAATAGGGGACCCCCAAATAGTAGGCTCCCTTATGATAAGGACCCCAACAAGGTACCTCAAATTTCGAAAATATGTGTATTTATCTAGTGCGCATGCGGCATTGCTTCTGGCGCGTTCCATATCGCACATGTGTCTCACCACGCGAATGGCACACGTGGATTGCCGTACGGCCGTAACTTTCGCGCAGGCCACACAGGGGATATCAGGGGCCCTCAAAGCCATCAGGTTTGCGTGGGAGATTGCTTGAGGGCACGAAACAACTCAAGGACATTCTAAGCTTTAGGGCTCGAAACTCTGAGCGCTGAACCTTCACACAATTCATGCTCCACTTCGGGCGTATTGCCCTTCATTCTCCCGCAGCACGATGACGAGGTATTGCCAGGTTGGCAAGCCCAGTGAGGCCGCCAAAGGGAGAGAGGGCGTAGAGTTTCGGGGTTTAGGGTTTAGGGTTAGGGTTTCGGGTTTAGGCTTGAGGGTCAGGGTGTAGGGTTAAGGGTTTAGGGTTTAGGGTTTAGGGTAAGGGTTCAGGGTGTACCCTTCAGGGGCGGTTCGGCCACGTCCTCGAACCTTGCTTGCGGAGTCCAAGCTCAGGGATCCCGGTTCCAAACTCTCAACCTGAAATCCCAGGATAAGGGGTTGCCTAAACCCTAAACCCTAAACCCTAAACCCTAAACCCTAAACCTTGGGGCTTTCGGGTTGCAGGGTTAAGGGTTTGATCTCACCGGTTCTCTACCGGGGGGCAGGGAGGCGGCTGGGCTGAACAGTTTTCGGCATGTATGGCTTAGGGCGTTTTTAGGCTTCCTTTTCGGGTTGCGGAAGCCCTCGACCCACTTCCCGAACCCTTGTCGAGTCCCAATTCGCTGGGAAACCCTGAAGCCCTGAGATGCCAGTCGATGTATATCTTCAAGGTTCACGCCTTCGGGGATTTCCTTTGACATCAACCCCTTTTGTAGGCCCACCACAGCTAGCCCGAAATCCTAAACCCTACACCCTTATCTTCAGTTGCTTAAGAGCCACCCAAAAACAAAAAAGTCTTCCTTATTCGGGGCAATATAGGGGCTAATGTTTTTTTTTGGGGTGGGGGGGGGGATTCTTAAGCAATGAGTGTTCTTAGAACGTCCCTCCCCCAAATCCTTCGGAAGCAAACGCTAAGCTGCCAAGCCACTCTTGGAGCAGGTTAAGATGATCGAGGCCCGGCCACCTCTCCATGGAAGTTGCTGTGGGCATTGTCAGATCACGAGAAATGCCCAGCTAAACCCTGAAGAAATCCATTCACCCTTTTCAGTGTTGGGATGGGATCCCCTAAACCCTAAACCCTAAACCCTAAACCCTCAACCCTCAACCCTAAACCCTAAACCCTAAACCCTCAACCCTAAAACGTCAACTCTTGACAAAACAAGGGCGTCTTGTCTCATCGCCTACTGGGAGTCGGAACCCCGAAGCCCCCAAACCTTGAACCCTGACATGCCCAACACCCTGTAGGATTTAGGGTTTAGGGTTTAGGGTTTAGGGTTTAGGGTTTAGGGTTTGGGGTTTAGGGATTAGGGTTCAGGGTTTGGGGTTTGGGGTTTAGGGTTTACGGTTTAGGGATGGTTTTTTTATACTTAGTAGTGTCGAGTAGGGTTCAGGGTTTAGGGTTAGTAGTATAGAGTCTCTAACCTCGAACCTTGTTGAGGTATTATAATCCCTATAGAGAACCTGTACTTCCCCCAGGATACTGGACAACTACGTTTAAGATTCCAGTTGAGACATGGCAGAGCTGGGGTTTAGGGTTTAGGGTTTAGGGTTTAGGGTTTAGGGTTTAGGGTTTAGGGTTTAGGGTTTAGGGTTTAGGGTTTAGGGTTTAGGGTTTAGGGGCCCCTTTCTAGTCAGGCTGCCCAAAACCCTCAGGGTGCAACAAGCGACTGCGCATCGAGTTCTGCGCCTTAGGCTTGAGTGCTCAATGGGACCTTAAACCCTAAACCCTAAACCCTAAACCGTAAACCCCCTTTTTAGGGCTTTTGGGGTTTTTAGGGTTTTGGGTTTTTTTTTAGTGTTTTTAGGGATTTGGGTTATTTTTTAGGGTTGTAAGGGTGTTTCAGGGTTTTTAGGGTTTTTAGTGTTTTTAGGGTTTAAGGGTTGTTAGGGTCTTTGCGGTTTAGGGTGTTTGGGGTTTAGGGTTCCTCCGTTGTTTTTGTTTTTTGGGGGTGCTCGCTAATTTTTCTGGTGTACTGGTTTAGCCGCTACAAACTCTATAAGCCCCCTATATGCCCTAATCCCTATAAAAGCCCTAAACCCCAGCTTTGTTTCTGGTGCAGCCTCCAAACCCAAAACCTCCAAACCCAAAACCTCCAAACCCGAAACCCTAAAACCCCAAACCCTAAACGCTCTGGAGGAAGAGATCAGCTACCTCCGGAAGCTGCGCCACCCGCGGTTGGTGTCTTTCCTGGGCTTCGCCAAAGATGCGGGGCAGGCGGCTTAAGGGTTCCCATACCCCTTTATGAAAAAAAAATGCCTTAAATTGTGCAGGGTTGAGGGTTTAGGGTTTAGGGTTTAGGGTTTAGGGTTTAGGGTTTAGGGTTTAGGGTTTAGGGTTTAGGGTTTAGGGTTTAGGGGTCCGGGTTCAGGGTTTAGCCCTTATACTACCAGTCCTGAATACGGATGATAGTGCCCCCTATTATAACCCCTATGAAGGACGAGTATAAGGGGGAGCATCCCAAGTTTAGTGTCTGTATAGGTCTCAGGGTTGCGGGCTTAGGGTTGATCCAAACTGTGGGCCCGTCTTTGTGTCTGAAAGATCCTGTATCCCTTCTGTGTCTTTGGAGATGGGGGCACCTAAGCTGAGGGCACCTATTGGACCCAGTTTTGACCACATATACTGCGTTGGAAGGTTCAGAATCCACAGTCAACCCTCGAGATCCTGAACCCTGCACCCCCAGCCTTCGACCGCCACAAGCTCGCAAAGCCTAAACCTTAAGCCAAAAAACCCAAAACCCAAAAGCCCAAGGGAAACTGCAAAACCTAAAGCCCCAGATTTCCAACAGCTATTCAGGTCTTTGCGGGGCTAGGGTACGCTGAACCCCAGAGGTCATCATCGTCATGGAGTTCATGTCTGGCGGCTCCCTGTCCCACATCCTCTTCACAAAGAAGGTGCCCCTCACGTGCCTTGGCACCGAAGCCCTCTTGGCTTGGAGTTGGTGTTTTGAGAAATTGGGCTACGTGCAAGTAACTGAGGGTATGACCAAGAAGCTTAGGGCTTCATTAGCACTTCGGGTTAACCCTAAAACCCTAAACCCTAAAACCTAGACCCTAAACCTCTCTGGGTCTCATTAGACCGGGCTTAGGTTGGGGTTTCGCAAGCGGCCCTAACCCTATAAACGCCATCAGTACCGACTGCCATGCCCTTGGCTATAACCTCCAAATAAAAACTAGACCCTCAACGTGAAGCCTGAAACCTGAATAAGCCCTAAATCAAAGCACGCGAAGCCAAGGTTAAACGCAAGGACACCTTTGAAATTAACACTTCAAGAACTCCCGAAACTTAAGCCCGACAATCCTAACAACCTTTAAAACGCTGAGAACCCAGCAACCCCAAAGAACCCAGAAGCCTAAAAACCGCAAACAAAACCTAGAACCTCTAAAATCCCTACTAAAACAACCCTACTAAAAAAGAAAAACTACTTTAACAAAAAAAACTACTAAAAACCCTAAACCCTACACCCTAACGAAAAAAAAAAAAAAAAAACCTACCAAAGCCCTCAAAATCCGAGGTTCGAGAGGAAATGCTTCATGGCGCATCAGATGGCCGAAGGCTTAGCCTTCCTCCACGACTTGAGTGTGGCGGCGGAGCTGCAATTAGAAACCCTAAACCCTAAACCCTAAACCCTAAACCGGGGGTTTTGGGGTTTGTAGGGTTTAAGGGTTTCTAGGGTTTGTGAATTGTAGGGCTTTAGGGTTTCAGTTTTTTTCGGTTTCAGGGTTTAGGGTTTTTAGGGTTTTGGGGTTTTGGAGTTTGCGGCTGGGGGTTCAGGGTTCTGAGATTTTCGGGGTTTAGGGTTCTAAGGTTTGTTGGTTTTCGGTTTTACAAGGGCTTCAGGGCTTGAGGTTTCGTTTTTCGTGACTCAAGTTTAAGGTCTTGCGCTTTGTTTAGGGTTTAGGGTTTAGGGTTTAGGGTTTAGGGTTTAGGGTTTAGGGTTTAGGGTTAGGGTGTAGAGAATGCCAGAAGAGGCTCGGGCCAAGCCCAAGTGAGTTTTGAAGACCCGATGCGAAGCCCCCTCCCCCCCCTTCCACACAACAAATAGAGGGCTCGGAATAATTACGCAGAGCATTCCCATAGGGTCCCTTGAAAATTAGCAATAGCCCCTCCCGCCCCCCCCCCCCCCCCCGCCCCGCAAAACCCTATTTTTCAATCATTAAGGCCCCTGTAGTAGAAGAGGCCAGCCTTTAAATCCTAGAAGCCACAGGCCAGGAGGGACCCCTTGAAAATCGGAGTTGGGCTTCGGCTTCAAAACAACGAACGCCCCGATTGGAACCTTCCGAGTATCTTATCCATGGCCCTGGGCCGGCAAGTCACATCATCCATGCTGTCAGTGAAGGCTTGCGAAAAACACGTCGAAATAGGCTTGATGATCACGCTCCCGGCCCCCGCAATCATCAGGTTCACCGGGATCTGAAAACTGCAAACGTGATCTTGGATGACGACTTGTGCCTGGGCTCTTATCACATGTGGGGGCTTACGAAAATAGGAGGCTCCCAGTAGAGATCCCGAATAGCAGGATCCCTTACAACAAGGGCCCCAATAAGGTACCCCTAAACCCTAAAAGCCTAAAACCCTAAACCCTAAACCCTAAACCCTAACCCCTAAACCCCAAATAGTCGGACCCATTATACTACCCATAAAATCGCAATCCCCCACATGTGTTGCTAAGCTCCGGCTTCGACATGGATTTTGGTGCAGCACGGTTTGGGCCCAGGTGCATGAAGGTTGGGCCTCTACGGTTACCACTAGGAAGCACGCCGCACCTACAAGCTCATTGGGTTTAGGGTTTTTAAGGTTTAGGGTTTAGGGTTTAGGGTTTAGGGTTTAGGGTTTAGGGTTTAGGGTTTAGGGTTTAGGGTTTCGGGCGGCTTGCATGGCCCTTCCACCGCGCCCGAGGAATTGCAAGATCTGCGACTTCGGCCTGACGATCACCCTGGATCGCACGCACATGACGGCGCTTCGGCTCATGGAGAGCTCAGGTGGTTTAGGGTTTAGGGTTTAGGGTTTAGGGTTTAGGGTTTAGGGTTTAGGGTCAGGGTTTAGGGTTTAGGGTTTAGGGTTTATACGGTTTATAGGGTTTATAGGGTTTATAGGGTTTGTAGGGTTGATAGGGTTTATAGGGTTTATAAGGTTTATAGGGTTTATAGGGTTTATAGGGTTTATAGGGTTTATAGGGTTTATAGGGTTTATAGGGTTTAGGCTTTAGGCTTTAGGGTTTATAGGGTTTAGGGTTTGGGGTTTAGCCCCCCCCCCCCCTTCGTTATCCCCGAACACAGCAAACAGCAACCCTGAACGTCAAACTAAGCCCCCCCCCTCCCAAACTCCTACACCCATGAACCAACCCTTATATAAACCCCTGAACCATTGAAGCCCTTATACAAAAGCAGCCTGAAACCCTAACCCCGTAAACCCATAAACCCCCAAACCAACCCTTGAACCCTGAACCCTTTGGAGCCCTAACCCCTTGAACGCATAAACCCGAAACCCCCCAACCCCGTAAACCTCTCTGACCCAGACCCCTGGGAGGCTCCGAGAGGAAGAGCCCTCAATAGAGCCCTGTACTACTGTTGGGTCATTCTCAGCAACCCTTGAGGGGATCTACTTTCTAGAGCCCTAAACCCTAAACCCCAAACCACCCAAACACGTAGGCCTGTCTCAGGTCTGGGGCTTACAGGGGTCCCCACGCTACATGGCCCCGGAGCAGCTTGATGCCAGTGAGCACAAGCCGCCTCTTGTGCCGCAAGGGCTTTAAGGGCCTTTAGGGTTGTTGGGGCTTTAAGGGTTTTTAGAGTTTTGGGGTTTTTAGGGTTTATAGGGTCAAAGGGCTCTAGGGTAGGGCTTTAAGGGCTTTTCGGGCTGTTAGTGTTTTAAGGATTTTAGGGTTTATAGAGTACTTTTTTGCAAATGTGCCATTGGCGGTCAGACCTCCGACAAATGCTTTGTTTGGTGAGTGCTGAGATGAGTGACGTCTATGTCACAGATAGGTAGGATGGAAGATGGACAGTCGCCTGATGGACAATCTCGGCGGTCAGAAGAACGATTCTCTGCAATCTTGTGTGCGCGTTTTTTCTCGTTTAGGGTTTAGGGAGGTTGGGGTTTTTAGGGTTTTTAGGGCTTTTCGGGTTTTTGGGGCTTAGGGTGTTCGGTTTGAGGGGGTTTAGGGTTTCGGGCATTTCGGGCTTTAGGGTTTTTAGGGTTCTAGGGTTCGGCCTAGGGTTTCGGGCCCTAAGCCCTAAACCCTCATAAGGGGCTTATGGGATTCAGGGTTGCAAGGGCTTCTGGTCAGCTGTGGTTCACCTGGGATGTGTTTGTAGTCATACTTGTGAGATTCAGGGCTGTGGTTGGCATTCAAGGACCAAGATCACCGAGAAAGTGGACATCTGGCAGATGGGCTGCGTTCTCATGGAGCTGCTTCTGGAAAGCATGTAGTTCAGTCGGGGTCAAAGTTGCAAATAGTGGTTGTTGAACATGTGAACTCATAGAAACACCCTACAAGGTTATGCAGGACGCTCTAGCTCTGACGAAGATTCCCTGAGTGAATTTTCAATATTGCAAAACGGAACGGAACTTTCTTCTTCCAGGTCATGCCAAGCATGAGCAAGAAGCTTTATGTCGAATGCTGGTAGCAGCCGTTCCCTTAAGCTTCCCTAAACCCTAAACCCTAAACCCTAAACCCTAAACCCTAAACCCTAAACCTTAACCCCTAACCCGAAACCCTAAATCCTAAACCCTAAACCCTAACCCTAAACCTACGTTCTGGAAGGTGGGGCCGAATGACCGAACGTTGGGAAGCGGACAGCATGCAATCGCAGGGTGTAGGGATTACAAAAGTCCCGAACCGTGAGGAATCTATACCTTGATTCCTTTTCTCAGGTCTTAGGTTCAGAAAAAATGGGTACCTTTTGTCACTCCTGGGCTACTCAAAGTAAGAGAATTAGGGACTCCCTTTCCACGCACCTTAGGGGACCAACACAGCGGCCCTAAACCCTAAAGAAGCCCCCCCCCCCCAGGTGTGTTCTGATCAGGTAGGGTCAGCAGCAAGAAATCGTCGGCCACGGCCACACATCCCTCCCTTCGCGCAAGCGACCCTTAAGAAGGGCCAGCACTGCGGTGTGGAGGTTCAGGGTTTCGGGGTTACCCAAAACCCTAAAACCCTAAGCCCTATAAACCCCAAACCCTAAATGCTGGAACCCAGGACTGCCCGTTAGGGTTTTAGGGGTTACCCTAAACCCGAAAACCCTAAAACTCTGTATACCCTGAACCCGACTAAACCCTAAACCCTAAACCCTGGAACTCCGGACTGGGCTTCAGGGTTTTAGGGGTGTACCCTAAACCCTAAAAACACTTAAAACCCCAAACCCTAAACCCCGTGACCCTAAAAGCCCTTTGCCCTGGGGGTGTACGCTGCCCAGGTACTGCGGCACCATCCCCTTTGCCAACCTCAACAGCGTTGCCTCCATCATCTCTGAGCTTGTCGTCACCTTGCGAGCACTTAGGGTTTAGGGTTTAGGGTTTAGGGTTGAGGGATCAGTGTCTAGACCCTACGCAACTACACCCTTAAACCTTGAAGCACTTGAACCCTAGACCCTCACACCCCGAAGACCCTAAAACCCTACTCCAAGCATAGGCTCTTGACACAATAATCCCTGAGACCTGTTTTTCCAAAGCCCTCCAACCCGACGCCGTGAAAGATTATAAACTGTTCGAGGCGCGGGTTGACATGTTTTTTCTAGGAAGCTCATGTCTTGAAGCGACAAAATGTTTTGATAATAAATTTCTATGAAATTTGCGGGTTTATAGAGCTTACAGGGTTTGTAGGGCATAGAGGGTTTATAGGGCATACAGGGCTTATATAGGTCTTAAAGAGTGTTAGAGGGTTTATAGGGCTTTTAGGGCTTATCGAGTTGTATAGGGTTTGTAGGCTTAGAGGGTTCTAGGGTTTAGGGTTTATAGGTGTTCTTCTAGAACCCTGCTTGCAAATGCATGTTGGGTATGGGTTTGGGATGTTCCCCTTTTTCGCTGCCTTAACAGAGACTATAGTACCCCCCGATTATATTCCCTATTAAGGACTGTTAGGATAGGGGGGAACACCCCAAGGGATTGTGGAAAAGATAGTTACCTACAGTGAACCAAAAGGTGTGACTTTTCTGGCATTCCCTCCGGCCGTGCTCTGAGGGTTTCTAATGCTTTCCGAGCGTTTCTAAGGGTTTCTATGGATTTTCTAAGGTTTGCTGCGGGTTTTCTAAGGCTACTTCAGGTTTTTCTAAGATCCTCAGCATGTCTTAGGAGGGGGAGGTGGTTTGAGTGCCGCCTTAGTACACTGCTTGTAGCTCTACACAAAGGTTGAAGAACCTCTGTGGTATAAGGGGTTCCTATATAGTATCTTTCGAGCCCAAGTATATATTAATTATACAGGTACATGGGCCCCTCAGGGCTATAGTGTCCCTAAGTCCGACGCCCGAAGCCCAAAGCTCCAAAACCGAAACCGCCCAAGGTGAAGCGCCGGGGCCCCTCTGTCCCGGAGAGGACGGATCCACGGGCTCGCGTGCTGATCGGCGCTTGCCTCCGCAACTTGGGTTGCAACGATTTTTGTGCTTTCGATGTCGCACTTGACGCGGCTTCAATGGGTTTGCCAGAAGCTTTGCCGGGCTTTTTAAGCGTTTAAAGGCCTTAAACGGGTTGAGGGCTGTTGAGCTTTGAAAGGCATCGCGGGGCTTAAACATTAAAGGGCTTGGGGATCGTACTGAACGAAACCTGGAGGGTGCGAGATGTCCGTGCTGGCAGAAACCGGGTGCTTGGAAGGCAAGGCCCCCCGCCCCCCCTCTCCCCCCACAACCTGGGGCCCTAAGCGGTTTGGTGGGCCCTGAAAGGCCTAAGGGGGCTTTGGACCATTGGAGGCCCCTGGGATATTTGCCGAAGAAGCTAGACCCGCAACGAAAAAAACCTGTCCCGGCTTTTCCCTACTTGGTAGCCCAGTGGTACCCTTTACCCTTTTTTTTCGCTCTGGATTCCCTTATAAAGTAACCAACCAAAAAAAGGGTGCCCTTATTATAATATGGTTAGTGGGCTACCAAGCCTAAGAATCTTTGAGGGTTCTGGCGACCTGGAGCCCACAGCGCCACCACGCTTTTTTTCGTCTCCACATCTTCAGAAACCCCTCAACCTCAAACCTTTCCTGGTTTTTTGTCTTCAACAAGTTCTCTTCAGTTTTCTTTAATAAGGGTACTTGTATCATGTCTAGTATCACTTCTCTTCAGTTTTCTCAGCCAGAGCCCAGTTCTGCCTCCAATCATGCTGAGGACTGTCGCCCAAGGTGCGTCCAAGCGCGGACATGATCCTGGAGGCGCCCATTTGTCCAACCCTAATCCTCAAAAAGGGTTTTTCAGCTTAGGGTTTAGGGTTTAGGGTTTAGGGTTTAGGGTTTAGGGTTTAGGGTTTAGGGTTTAGGGTTTAGGGTTTAGGGTTTAGGGTTTAGGGTTTAGGGTTTAGGGTTTAGGGTTTAGGGTTTAAGCTTGCTGTGTCTGCATCTGCTGATCTATCCAATGCCTCTATCTATTTTTTCTGCCATCTGGCTAGCCAAAGTCAGGGCAGCCCTTGAGAGGCCCACACCCTACTTGACCTCCTCAGGAGAAGCCTGATGCCTCCGGATATACCCCCCATAAAAACGGTTTTCAAGATCACTATATCTGGGGATATAATTAGCAGAGATAATGTTACGGTTGCGGGGTTGCTTTCTAGTAGGAGCCTTGTGCGAAACGTAGCAGCGCGTCTTGGAGGAGACTGTCTCGGCGGGCGCCGGGGGAGGGGGGGGGAGTTGCCTCCAATAAGCACTTCCAACATTGCGGTAACTTGGGATGTTCCCCCTTGTACTAAAGTCCTTCATAGGGAAAATAACAGGGGTAGTATAAGCCCCCAATTCAGGACTAGTCGTATAAGGGGGAACATCCCAAGTGATAAAGGTACAAGGGGATCAACCTTCTACTCTTTGCAAAAGAACCCCCCCCAAACATTCACGCAAAATCCCTATCTTGCCCTTGTAAGGAGGATTAATCTTTTGGGGATTTTGGGGGGATTCCTAAGCAAGTAGTAGCTCCTAGGTAGGACAAGGTGGACCCTTAAACGGGAACCTTCTGGCTCTCTTAAGCAGGGACCTTATTCAGGGGGTCTATATCCCCAAGGGTCCCCCTAATCATATGAAGCAGGGTTTATATTTCTGTTTTTGGTGAGTGTATATACGGTTCCTTTTTAATATTGGTGAGTGTATATACCTGGTGTCCTTTTGGGGGTACAAGTAATATATATATATATATACCCTACTTCATATCCCCTAGTAGCCTTGGCTGATGCCCTCAGCTTTGCAGGCGATCGGCGGCATCTGCCCGGAGGCATCCAGCAGCCAAGAGGCGTAGGAGCCGAGCTGGATCCCAGGCCTGAACCCCGCGGGTTTCGGGAGGGTTTTTTTGAGGGTTTATTAGGGTTTATTAGGGTTTATCAGGGTTTATTAGGGTTTATTGAGGTTTAGTAGGGTTTATTAGGGTTTATTAGGGTTTAGGGTTTTTTTTAAGGGTTTCGGGTTTAGGGTTTAGGCTTTAGGTACGGCTTAGGGTTTAGGGCTTAGAGCGTAACAACCCCAAAGCCGTGGGAAATACCCGAAGCCCACGAACCCTGAACCCTGAACTTAAGAGTCGTGCGCTCCGGGTTTGGAGTTTGGAGGCTTGAGGCTTGGGACTGTTTAGTGTGTGTTTAGTGTGTTGGGGTTCTGGGCCTCTTGAAGGCCCAGGGTCAACCCAGAACCCTGCAGGATGTGGCTACTAGTACTAGCTGTGCTACTTGAAGAAGCAACATTCGTGACAAGGGCAGGTTCATGGTACTTACTGACCAATCATAGCTGTACTTCTAACCCACTGAAAAGCTCCTTAAGTGCCATAATGTGGTGATACGGTTATAAGTACAGTCATAAATGGTTAACAAGTACCATGAAACTCCAAGTAGCAATAACAGCGTTACTTGTTTTCAGTAGCGGTGCTAGCATGACAGAGCAATAGAGCGTCGATGATATACGCAAGAGCATGGGTGCTAGTTGCCGAAGCTGAGTCGCGCATGTCTGGCCAAGACTCACACCCCCCCCCCCCGGTTTAGGGTTTAGGGTTTAGGGTTTAGGGTTTAGGGTTTAGGGTTTAGGGGCAAGGGTTGAGGGTTTAGAGATTAGGGTTTAGCGTTTAGGGTCTAGGGTCCCCGCTGCCAGCAGTGTGATTGTGGTTTCAGATCAGGGGGTTCAAAAAGTCCAAGAACCCCAAGCCCAAATCCCCAAAGCCCGAAAACCCCACCTAAACCCTAAGCCCTAAACCCTGCACCCCTACTTGGAGGTTCATGGTACTTACCAACCAAGTTTAACTGTACTTCTAGCTGTACTTGCAACCATATGAGGGCACTTAAGGGCGTTGTATGTGGCTTATAAGTAGAGTCAAAATTGGTTACTAAGTACCATGAACCTCCAAGTAGGCCTTAGAACCGAAGTCTGAGGTTTGCAAGGCTGGCCAAGAAGTTTGACTGCCCGCTGCTGGCCAGGTGGTCGAATGTCTAATGGTGTTGGCCCGGGCCCCCGAATAGTAAGCTAGGCTCTCTACCTGGAACCTGGACCCTAAACCCTAAACCCTTAACCCTAAGCCCTAAGCCCTAGGCTCAGACCACAACCCCTAAGCCTTTACAAACCCTAAGCCTAGCCTTTTGGGGCCCTGGTCTCGAGTACTTCTTTCCTAGGGTTGTGCACCAGTCTAAACTGGGCACCACGAATTTGGATCTTATTTTGCAGGGACATGCTGCTTCCTTGGCTCTTCCCTGCCATCAGAGGCACTGCAGTTCGTAGCCTCAGCCTTGGGGTGATAGGCGTTTAGGGTTTAGGGTTTAGGGGTTAGGGATGGGGGTTACCTTAGGGATGCTGGAAGGGACTCTCGATGATGCTTAATTAACTATACGGTAATTACCCATCTCGATATAGAATTCCCCGTCGTTCCAACATGAGGGCAAGAAGTCCGCCCCCAAGTGTGTTCGGCGACGTCGTCCGCCATGCTACGTCTCAGAATGTGCTGCAGTGCTTCTGAGTACATTGCCGCCGTTTAAGCAGGTCTGCTCCAATGGGGAAAAGTAAGACTTCCGCATTGATTTTGGTCTTGGGGCTTGGGGCTTTGTGGGTGCAGAGTCTGGCAGACCCTGCTGAATTCAGCTTCCCGGAACCACTCTGACTTTCAAAAGATGAGGACTGGGAGCTCGACGACTATTCCGACCCTAGAAACAACTTCAGCCAGCAAGCCCTCCCCACGTTTAGGGCTGAGTTCACTTCTCTAGTTCTTTTGGAGGCTAAAACGGCTAAAAACCCTAGATCCCTAAACCCTAAATCCCCAAACCCTAAAAAACCCCTATACCCGAAACCTTATACCCGAAACCCTAAACCCTCTACGAGCTCGGCAGTCGGACCCTTCAGAGTCCCCGTGCACGACGCTAAGAGCTTCCGCGGCGGCCAGGGCGCCTCCACTGGCGAAGGCCACGGGGTGCGGCTTAGGGCTCCCGCGTGGGCCTGCCGCTGGGTTCTTGGTATGTTTAGGGTTTAGGGTTTAGGGTTTAGGGTTTAGGGTTTAGGGTTTAGGGTTAGGGTTAGGGTTTCTAGGGTAGGGCCCCCCCCTCGTAATGGTACTGGGGAGGGGGGGGCTACTCTGAGTGCCACCTATTTCCGGGACCTATTTTGTCAGAGTGGGGGGGGGGGGGGAAGAAATAGGTACCGGAGTGGTGCCTGGGCGTCCATTGGGCAGTCACGCGCAGAAGTTGCATATCCATGTCATGTCTGTCTGATCTCGCTGCCGCCCGTAGAGGCCAGACAGTGCGAGGGGTTTTCATAGCAGCAAGTCGCCAGCATAAGTGCGCAGTAGTGCAGCATGTCTCAGCCGCAGACAGCAGCAGCAGGGTAGCGCAAGTGTGGCGCAGCAGCGCAGCACAGTGCAGACAGTGGTCCTTCTAGGCCTAGGCAATTTGGGGGCCTTTTTGTGAGTCCTGCTTGCGCACGCCAGTGCGCCAATAGTACAGTGCACGCCATGTGGGGGATCGAGTGCAGACACAAGAATGTGGGGACGCCGAAGGAGCGGAAGGACTGCGTCTCGACTAGACAAGTCCAGAAGCTGACGTGACGCTCTTTGAGTGCTCTTTTGTAAATTTTGCAGCTTTGTTCCCGCCTCCCATCTGAGATTACTGGCACTACCTCAACGAAGATGGCAGCACCAAGCGCCAGTTCGACAGCCACCCCAAGGCTGCTTGATCTCGCTTTGGATTCCCTAGCATACCTCACGGGAGTTGTTTTGTTTCCAGGCCCTGCTGTGGTCGTCAGAAGTTGGTGTGCAGGCAGGCCGTGGATGTCCTTGAAGTATGACATGCGTTTCATGTCTCGGCAGCGTCTCAAGCGAGGTGCCTCCGCTTCGTATCACTTACACGCCCGAGCAGGACATGAGTCTGCCTTGGATTGGTGTCGCTGTTTCGCTCGACGTGTTCATAGCCGCAGGACCCGGCTTGGAAGCGCAGGAGGCTGCGCGAGGCAGGGCGGGCGGCTCACTGGGCGTGTAGCTTAAGCGTGTGTGCGTGGTGTTGTAGGATTTTTGTAGGACTGCGGTAGATAGTGTTTGTTGTTCTGCATCATTTGAATACGGCGCTGTGATAGTGCCGCGGCCGCTGTGAAGTGGCAGGGAAGTGGCTCTAAAAGACTAGTGGCGGAAAAGAAGTCACTGTGAGAGTTAGCCGCTGTGAAGTGGCAGTGACGTGGCTCTAGAAGTCAGTCGCAGAAAAGAAGTCGCTGTGAGAGTGACAGAGGCCGGCTTGACAAATCCAATCGAGAAAAAAGGAAGGCGCTGTGAGAGTGCCAAGGCCGCTGTGAAATGGCAGTGAATGCGCTCTGACAATTTAGTCGCAGAAAAGAAGTCGCTGTGAGAGTGACCAGGCCGGCAAAAAAAAAATAGTGGAGAAAAAAAAAGGAAGGCGCTGTGAGAGTGCCAAGCCGCTCTGCAGCGGCAGTGAATGTGCTCTAACAAGAAAAGAAGTCGCTGTGAGAGTGACAAGGGCGGCTATAAAAATCTAGTAGTCGCAGAAAGGAAGTCGCTGTGAGAGTGACCATGGCGGCTATAAATGAAAAAAAAAAAAAAAGGGCTCAGTAGTGGCTCTAAACATGTAGTCCAAGGACAGCCCAAACATGTCACGCGTGGCCCTGGAGTACACCGTGCCGCGCAGATGCCGTGGCTGGCGTGCGCAACCCATGTCAGCCTATCTAGCGGCGCTTGCTGCTTCAACAGACACCACGGAGGCTACACCGGCGTTGTCGAATTGCCACACGATGTCCTGTTCAAACAGATCTCTATTGCGTTATTGCCTGTGTTGCCGTGAATGACCAGTGATGCCACTCTGCCGCCGCGTTTGGCAGGTTCATGACAGAGGGGAGAGTGCGAGGGCAGAGTCAGCTCGAGATCGTGACGGCATCACCTTGACAACAATGGTCTTTGTAGTCACTTGGGGCTATATCAATTCCCGCTCCTGTCCCTTGTGTGTTGGCGATGGCAGAGTATCCCGCTCCTCCTCGATCCTGTGAACTCCGTTGCCGGAGAGCTCACGACAAGGGCCACCCATGCCTCAGCTCTGCGCCTCCATGTGTTCTTGTCTGACAAGGCCAACGCAGCCCCAGAGAGGGTTAAGGGAGGCAAGGTGAAGCTACCCTGCCTGAAAGAGGACGAGCACGAAGATGCGCCACCGCAGAATACGAATCCGGAGGAAACTTCGCAGATGACATTCAGCGCCATGAGCTTTCAGAGAAGAAGCCTCACGGACTCCGTGGAGAAGTTCATGGCAGGCCTGCTGAATTGCTACAAAGACAAGGGGCTTGATTTCACCCAGGCGGATGGAACCGTCTGGCTGGGCAAAGAGAAACACCAGTGGAAGGACATCGTCTCGCGCGTTCCGGCTTACTTCCTTCAAATCCTGAAGGATGTTCAGGGATGGCGGTTCAGTTCACAGGTGCACAACCAACTCATGCAGCTGCTGCCGAAGAGACGCTTTGCATGAATTAGGTGGTCCTTTAATCCTCAGCCCCGTGTAGAAGTCCAGTGAGTACAGTGTCCCTGTGCCTTGTCCTGCTGAGGCGACAACTCCAAGACGAAAATGCTGGAATGGCTGCGAAACGTTGTGCGTGTGGCACCGACAACTGTGACGTTCAGAGTCGGTTAGGGAAGCCGTAGGGCGTAGGCTGCGAGAGTACTGCTTTCACTTCGTCACATAAGCCGGTGCCTGTTTCTCACACATCGGGCCATTGCAAAGGGACACTGATGCCGTGTTCGGGCACTGTAGAAGTAAAAATGTACATAAAGAGGGTCTGCGCCGCATACGTCCGATGTGCTTTGGGGTTTGGGGTCGAACTCAGGGCTTCTCACACACACCATCTCTGTGAGACAGAGATCGCGCGGTTGAAAAAAACGAGCTCTTTGCCTTTCTGGATAAATGCGCTCATGGACGCTGTGAGAGTGTCCTTTCTTAAGATCCTTTTTGTAGTGTGTACATCTTCCAGACATGTGCTCTTGTCAGAGTGGTCCCCCCCCCCCAACATCAAAAAAAACGGAAAAGGTACGGGTACCTATTTTTTAGGGGGGGGGGGGGGACACCCCCCCCCCCCCTCGAGGGGGTGGTCGTTCTAGGGTGTATAGGGTTTAGGCTGAGGTTTGCTGGTTTTTCGCGACGTTACCCTATGCTGGTACACCTTAAACCCGAAACCCTAAAGCCTTAGTTTTAAGTTTCTTGACAAGAACCCAGGCAGAGCAGCTATAGGCGCAAGGCCCTGCGCCCTTCAATCGAAGGCTCGCCGGCCAAGCCCGCTTCAAAAGAAGCCCCCCAGCTGTTTCACTGGCCAATTGCGAAACGGTCAGTCTCAAAAGGCGATGGTGAGCGATGTCACTTTAAGGGTCATAACTTGAGACCCTAAACCCTAAACCCTAAACCGGTTTCGGCTGTTTTGCTCGAGTTTTGGGGCTTCTTTATGGAGTAGGGTTGTCAGGGCTTTGGGGGCTGTTTTTAGGGTTAGGGTTGTGTGTTCGGAGGTTCCCCTTTGTACGAACAGTCCTTGATAGGCATTAGGGTTTAGGGTTTAGGGTTTAGGGTATTAGAATAGGGGGTACTATAATCCCTATTAAGGACTGTGAGTATAAGGGTGACACATCCCCAAGTTGTGTGCGCCAGGCCCCTCCCTGCCGTCTCTTGCTTTTTGCAGCGCCAGGCGGGTCATTCTCTTCGTCAATGCCATCTCCTCCGTGCAGAGGCTGTCTTCGGCCGTGTGCCCAGCATCCTGCAGGGGCCCAGCATCCTTCAGGGCACGCGACTGCAAGTGGCACCACCAATCTTTGCCCCAAACCCTATAAACTTGAGATAGCTCTGAGGCCTGAGCCCTGAGCCCTGAGCCTATATGAAAACACCAGGGGTTTGGGGCTTAAGGCTTTCAGATTCTTGTTTTGTTAATGGGGTTTTCGGGTTGAAGCCTGAACCTAAAACCAGCAACCCCAAGCCACCCTGCCCGCGAATACCTACACCAGCCCTAGGTTTCGTAAACCCCTGCCCCCCAAAACCGAAACCTTCAGCTTCATAAGCCCTAAACCCTCAACCCTCAACCCTCAACCCTCAACCCTCAACCCTCAACCCTAAACCCTAAACCCTAAACCCTAAACCCTAAACCCTAAACCCTAAACCCTGCACAGCAAGTTCCCGAAGCTCCCGACATGGAGCAAGGTGCTCTCGCTTCTTTTGGAGAGCCCCAGCGCAAGCAAGGCGGGCGCATGGGTAAAACCCCAAGCCCTGAAACACCGTAAGGATTGAGGGTTTAGGGTTTAAGGTTTAGGGTTTAGGCTTTAGGCTTTAGGGTTTAGGGTTTAGGGTTTAGGGTTTAGGGCTTCGGGAACCCTATAAGGCCAATAAACCCCTTCAAAAGCAGCATGGAAAGTCATATCGATTGTATTCCTGTCCAGCCCGGGAATGGCGAAAGCGAGCCAGTTGCGCATGTCAAAGTAAACCCTAAACCCTGAGTAGCACGTTTGATTTTCGTAAAGCAAAAGGCCTGATGATCGACTGCCGTTTGCATGCATGGTAAGAGTATGCTCATAGAAATTTAGCTGGCATTTGTTGTTTTTATACTCCAGTTCTTTGGCATACTTAGGAGTATACAGAAATATATACTGAGCGGCTCGAAGATCAATGCTGTATACGATTGTCGGGTGTGGCGTGCAGTGGCTCTTTCGATGGTGTTGTGCACGTTGTTCGTGCAAGTTCAGCGTGCAGAAGTAGGATGTCAATGATGCAGTGTTTCGCTGCGTGTAGATGGTGTTTTTGACATGGTTTTCGTGCGTGTAAACGTATGATGTCATGGATGCATCGTTCGCTGCGTTTACATGGTTTTTTTTATGCATTCTTTTGGTGCATGTGGAAGGTTGCAAAGCCCCACGCGAAACCTGTGGCTGGGACTTGCATTCCTTCGGGGAAAGGCTTCTTCAAATTCATGGGACTAGGGCTGCCCTCTGTAAATTAAAAGAAAACATATATATATATATATATGTATATTTATGTGTATATAAATATAAATAAATGTATATATATATACATATAAGATTCCTCGGTGCCCCACAACGAAGGTAGGTTTTCGTTTTTAAGCCCCACAGCCGCGCAGGTTCTCTCCCGGGTCAGGATGTCCAACGCAGGACCGGAATTCGCGGGGGGGGGGGGGGGGGGGTTGAGGCTTTTGGGTGGGTTCGGGGAAAAGTTAGGGGTTTTGGGGGCATACAGGTGTTAGCCCCAAACCCTAAGCTGTTTAGGGTTTTTGGGCCAAAACACAAAGCTCGCTGTATGGCTCCAGACAAGTCTTAAGTCCGAATACGCTTAGGAAGTCAGCTAGTAGTACATCTCAGGGAACCAAATGCCCTACAGAGGATGAGGGACCTAAACTCCCCAATTCCTGGCGCAACGTGAGCGCGGCGCACGTCTGCATAGTGTTACAGCTAGTAGTAAGAAAGCACCCTCAAACCCCAAACCCACGATACTACAAGAAAGTCTTAGACCTAATCCCCTAAACCCCTAAACCCCTAAACCCCTAAACCCCTAAACCCCTAAACCCCTAAACCCCTAAACCCCCAAACCCCCAAACCCCTAAACCCCTAAACCCCTAAACCCTAAACCCCTAAACCCCTAAACCCCTAAACCCCTAAACCCCTAAACCCCTAAACCCCTAAACCCCTAAACTAAACCCTAAACCCCTAAACCCCTAAACCCCTAAACCCGTAAACCCCTAAACCCGTAAACCCCTCAACCCCTAAACCCCTAAACCCCTAAACCCCTAAACCCCTAAACCCCTAAACCCCTAAACCCCTAAACCCCTAAACCCCTAAACCCCTAAACCCCTAAACCCCTAAACCCCTAAACCCCTCAACCCCTGAACCCCTAAACCCCTAAACCCCTACACCCCTACACCCCTACACCCCTAGACCCCTAGACCCCTAGACCCCTAGACCCCTAGACCCTAGACCCTAAACCCTAAACCCGAAACCCTAAACCCGAAACCCTAAACCCTAAACCCTACCCAGAGGCAACGCCGGTCCCCCACCCGGCCCGGCTGTGGACGTCCTTGATCTCCACTCGAAGATGCGACAGAAGGCCAGTCTTCCGGACTTAGGGTTTAGGGTTCAGGGTTTAGGGTTTAGGGTTTAGGGTATAATTTGTTCCTGGTACTTATTATCCAAGTACAACTGTACTTACAGCCATATTTGGGAACTTAAGGGGCTTATAAGTACAGTTATACTTGGTGAATAAGTTCCATGAACCTCCAATTAGGGTTTCGGCGTTTAGGGTTCTGGCCTTAGGGTTGAGGTCGTACCCTAAACGTTAAACCCAAAACAGGTGTGTCAGTTGTAGGTACAACAGCCCGAAACCCCAAAACCCTAAACCCTTGGGGCCTTGGGGTTTAGGGTGAAGGGTCTGCCGTGTGGGCAGGAAGGTAGAGCGGGGTTGAAAGACGAAGGCACCTTTTGGTGGCCTCTGGCCTGGGGCGTGTTTGAGGCTTGGGGTAGGTGTCAGGGCATTGTTAGGGTCTAAAGTTTAGGTTTAGGATTTGGAGTTTAGGGTTTTCCGTTAGGGTTTCGTAAGGGAATTAGGATTTGGGGTAGCACGTGTGGCTTGCTACCACTCTATGGAGGAGAGTGGGAGCTGTGGTTCTGTGGTAATTATAGGGTCCTTCAGGAAGGGGGGGGGGGTCATGGGGAGTAGGTACCTGGGGAACCTTGGGAAAGCTTAGGAAGTTCTAGGAGTAGTGGTATTAGGAAACCTTGGGTTACATGCCCCTTGAACACCCCCCCTCCCTTAAGGACCCTATAAGTACATGTCTGCAACTATGCAGGGTAGACTCTGCTAGGCATGTTCATACCGCAGCTGTACGCCCGAAGATGTCAGCTTAAGGCCTCAGTGTACTTGTGGGGTTTAGGCTTTAGGCTTTATATGCCATGCTTGGCTGAACAATGGAGGCCTTGGAGGTCGAAGACCTCACAAAGTTGTTCATTCTGACTAACCCCTAAACCCTAAACCCTAAACCCTAAACCCTAAACCCTAAACCCTAAACCCTAAACCCTAAACCCTAAACCCTAAACCCACTTAAGGGGCTTAGGGGATCTGCTCCGTACTTCCGCATGCACAGGATCGCCTCAAGCGCATCGAGAGGTTTCGAAAGCTCAAGGATCATCGGGCTGCCCTGCGGGATTTCGGGTTTAGGGTTTAGGGTTTAGGGCTTTACGGCTCTAGGGCTTTCGGGTTTAGGGGTCAAGGGTTTCGAGTTTAGGGGTTTAGGGTGAAGGATCCGGCATGAACCCTAAATTCTTACACTCCATTATCCCCAACAGATTCAGGGTTGAAGGGCCCGACGCCTCAAGAGCCAAAAATATCCGGCCAAAGGAGCCTTAGGCCCTACAAGGCGCGTTTAAGCCCTGAACCTCGAACCCAAGAACCCCTAAACCTCAAACCCTGAACCCGGAAGCCCGAAACCCATCAGGATGCACCCCAAACCCGTGAACCCCAACTCCCAAACCTGAAGCAGCCCTTCCGATGCAGCGCAGCCCTATGGTCCCTTTTGAGCCTTTTTTGTTGTGAAGCTTGATCCTTGGCATCATACCACAAGTGCCCCAAAGTCTGCTATGCCAAGCCTTTTGGGCATAGAAGTCACGGACCTTAAGCCCTAAACCTTTGATCCATCGCCGCCAGCATCATGCCCCTTGCCATTGACGTGAGCCTGCTAAGTGGCAGGACAGCTTCAGTCGAAGCAGAACCGGATGAGTCTGTAGCCGTCCTCAACAGCAGAGCACAGAAGACTTTGGTCGTTGGCAGCGGCCGACTCTTGGACTCCTCTGCAGGCATTCTGCGTGCAGCAGCCACGCTCGAGGAGTCTGGGTTGCAGAGTGGCGCTGCGCTCACCTTGCAGCTCAGCAGCACTGTTCGCACCAACATTGCTGCTTGTGCTGCGATCCTCGGTGAATGGGGGGGCGGGGGGGACTGCTGTGCTCTCGAGCAGCAGCTACTCCTAAAGGATGTGTGTCAGATCAGGGCATCTGGGTGGGCTAATGCTTTTGTACTGGACGATGGGTCTGTTGTGACCACGGGAGCTGCTGACTCTGGCGGCGACAGCAGTGATGTGCAACATCAGCTGATGGACGTGAAGCAGATCCAGGCATCCGAAGAAGCATTTGCTGCCATTCTGGGCGATGGGTCTGTGGTCACGTGGGGTTCCACTGACCATGGTGGAGACAGCAGTGCTGTGCAAGACCAGTTGAAGAACGTGCAGCAGATCCAAGCCCACAACACAGCTTTTGCTGCCATTCTCGGTGATGGGTCTGTTGTGACCTGGGGTGATACTGACAATGGTGGTGACAGTAGTGCTGTCCAAAATGAGCTCAAGGGCGTGCAACAGATCCAAGCTACCATGTCGGCTTTTGCTGCCATTCTGCGCGATGGGTCCGTTGTGACCTGGGGCAATGCAGCCCGTGGTGGTGACAGTAGTGCTGTCCAAAGACGTGTTGCAGATCCAAGCAACTTTGGTGTCTTTTGCTGCCATTCGGTGCGATGGGTCTGTTGTGACCTGGGGCCGTTGTGGCCTCGGCGGCGACAGCAGTGATGCACAACATCGGCTGAAGGACGTGCAGCAGATCCAGGCTACCGATTTCGCATTCGCTGCCGTTCTGGGCGACGGGTCCGTCGTGACCTGGGGTGATGAAGGCAGCGGCGGCGACTGCAGTCATGTGGAAGACCAGCTCAAGAACGTACAGCGGATCCAAGCTACCAGCGGCGCTTTCGCTGCCATTCTGGGCGATGGGTCTGTAGTGACCTGGGGCGATGCTAACTGTGGCGGTGATAGCAATGCCGTCCGAAGTCAGCTGAAGGGTGTGCAGCAGATCCAAGCATCCACATATGCCTTCGCTGCCATTTTGGCTGATGGGACTGTTGTGACCTGGGGAGCCAGCAACAGCAGTCGTGTCCAAGATGAGTTGACTGAGTTGAAAGGCGTGCAGAAGATCCAAGCCTTCTGCTCAACTTTTGCTGCGATTCGCATTGATGGGTCTGTTGTCACCTGGGGCCATGGTTGCAGTAGTGGTCAGAGCGATGATGTTGATGACTGCACAACTGCCTCCTGTGTCGACAATGCTGGCGGTGGTGGGGACAGCAGCGAGGGCTGACGCGCTTTTAAGTAGAAGAGATGTACTTCCTTAATTCGATATGGGGACCAGGTTCCAAGTAACATTTTTGCTAAGAGCTGTATCCTGAACAAGTCGGCAGAAGCGATTCGGAATACGAAAGCTTCGTTGTCGGCCTGCAAGCACGGAGGACTGTCGCGTTTGGACGATGGCATGATCCTTGACGCATGGGCTTGAAATGATGCCAAGATCTGAAGATGTGAACACAGTTCTTGCATTTTGGCAACAACAGCGCACTAGCGCAGTAGCGCTTGACAACGTGAAGGAAATGCCAAAGCCGATATGCTGAAAAAAATGGGCTCAGCAATTCAGCATGTGCTGTCGAAAGCATGTCCATTCACTTTGAAAGCCCGAGTGAGGTGCAGCTGTTTCGGACCATCATCGCGCGTTGCACCCTAAACCCCATTGAGCAAACAGTCGAATCTCGAGTGGAGCAACCCCTAAAAAGCCACCCGACGAGCCCTCCCCCCCTAACCCTAAACTAAATCCTAAACACTAAACCTTATAGGGTTTAGGATTTATAAACCCTAAACCCTAAGAGCCCGCGAGCCACTAAATCCTAAACACTAGACCTTACAGGGTTTAGGATTTATAAACCCTAAACCCTAAACCCTAAACCCTAAACCCTAAGAGCCCGCGAGCCGCTAGGATGCCTTGCTGGTTTGCACGGACATCGCGGCTAGAGGCCTGTTTTGGGTGGGGTGCTTAAGTGGTTTGGGGTGTAGGGTTTAGGGTTTAGGGTTTAGGGTTTAGGGTTTAGGGTTTAGGGTTTAGGGTTTAGGGTTTAGGGTTTAGGGTTTAGGGTTTAGGGTTTAGGGTTTAGGGTTTAGGTTTGGGTGGGGATTAAGTGGTTTGCGGGGGTTTAGGATTCATGCGTTTGAGGCTTTAGGGCTTCGTGTGTAGGGCTTTATGGTCGAAGGGTTTCAGGGCTTTGGTCTTTCTTCTGTGTAAGGCCTTTAGGGTTTGAGCCAGGGTTTGTAATGCATGGATTTGGGGTGATAAGCCCCGCAAGGTTGTAGATGGTTTAGGTTTTGGGGCGCTATATAGGGCTTTAGTTTTAGATGACTTTAGGGTTTCAAGCTTCACGCTTTTCGTTTCATATATACCAAAGTCCAGAGGGTTAGGGCTTTGGGTCCCTTCACTTCGGGGGGTAATCGCGTTGCGGTTTTTGAACTTCAATTGCTCTGTAGGACTGTAGGAATTTCCCAAAACAGGGGTCCCCCTTTTATACCCCAAATAGAATAGAGAATCCCCTTAAAAAAGGGGTTCAGGGTTTAGGGTTTCGGGTCTTGATGTGTGTTTCTGACAGGCTTTCAGGGCCCAGGGTTTAGGGTTTAGGGGTTAGGGTTTAGGGGTTGGGGTTTAGCGTTTAGGGTTTAGGGTTTAGGGTTTAGGGTTTAGGGTTTAGGGTTTAGGGTTTAGGGTTTAGGGTTTAGGGTTTAGGGTTTAGGGTTTAGGGTTTAGGGTAGGGTTCTTTCGGGTTCCGGTCTATGAGGGGTGGAGGACTGCAGGGAGCTGTAGCTGCCTGAGGGTGGGTGTTGGAACTGTAGGCCTTTGGGCTCATAGAGTTTAGGGAGCTAGGTTTTTGGGACATTTTGTGTTTTGCCTTATTGGGTTTAAGAGGATCATTTCAGGAATATCGCTAAACCCTAAACCCTAACCCCTAAACCCTAAACTAACCCTAAACCCTAAACCCTAAACCCTAAACCCTAAACCCTAAACCCTAAACCCTAAACCCTAAACCCTAAACCCTAAACCCTAAACCCTAAACCCTAAACCTACCACCTCATGGCTCAGAGGGTTTTAAGGGGCTTTCCTAGAACTTGCCACTCTCTAAGGCTCTCTAAGCCCTGCAAAGCCCTGAGCCCCCCCCGAGTTCCGAAAGATCCAGCGTTTTGGGGTTTAGGGTTTAGGGTTTAGGGTTTGGGGGTAATTTAGGGTTTAGGGTTTAGAGTTCAGAGCGGTTTGGGGTGTTGGGTTCTTCCTTGCCTGGCCGCATGCTTCCCTGGACCTGAGACCTCTTGATTCAACCCTAAAACCTAAACCCTAGACCCTAAACCCTAAACCCTAAACCCTAAACCCTAAACCCTAAACCCTAAACCCTAAACCTCCGAAACCCTAAACCTCCGAAACCCTGAACCCCCGAAACCCTGAACCCCCGAACTCCAAACTGAAAACCTGTGCAAGATCTTGAGCAGGCCTGGACGTGCCGGACGTGTCTGCCGTCTTGCACTTCCAGGCCTGGAGAGCGATTTGAGGGGTCATCTCTTGAAAGGGTTTAAGGTATAGGGCTTAGAGAAGTTTAGAGTGTGAGGGTTTAGGAGGATGGGTTTGAAGTCAGAGGGGCAATGCTTCATGATGAGCGGCTGTCTTAGATGTTGTTTGGAGCGCTTGGAGGACTGATCCCTAACCCCACCCTCCAGCCGAAGCCCCTAAACAGGCCCCAAAACACCGCCCTCAGCCCCTAAAAGCAAATACTCAAACAATATCTGGCATCAACAAACGTGTTATGCCGTTTTTTGTGTTGCATCTTGAGCCCTTCAACCCCGGCGCCACAAAAACCGAAGCCTCAGAGCCTCTTCACAGTCAAGGAAGCCACGGGTCTGGGTCTGAAATCAAAACTCCCCCAACTGTCCAGACTTCATAACATCATCTTAGGGTGTCGTGTTTAGGAAGAGCTCGTGTGCCGAATGAGTTGCGCTCCACCCTAAACCCTAAACCCTAAACCCTAAACCCTAAACCCTAAAAACCAGAGACCCTAAACCCTAAACCCTAAAGCCGAAGCCATGAACCTTCAACCCCTACGCCAGGCGCCGCGCGGCTCGGAGGTGTTCGTCCACCGCAGTGGTCGGACTGCCCGTGCTGGACGGGCAGGACTCGCGGGGAGAGGTTTGGGGTTTAGGGCTTAGGGTTTTATTAGGGTTTTATTAGGGTTTTATTAGGGTTATATTAGGGTTTTATTAGGGTTTTATTAGGGTTTTATTAGGGTTTTATTAGGGTTTAGGGTGTAGGGTTTCAGCGCCAGCATGCGAGTAGTTTTGTTTGAGGGTTTAGGGGCTACGGCAATGGACAGTTTGTCCTTCAACGTAAAACCTAGAACCCAGATCCTGGGTAAGAACGCTTTTGGGGCAAAAGAGCTTTGGAAATTTGTCTAAGGGCCAAGGCAGGTTCATTGCATATTGTAGTGCTTCTGGCTGCAAGCCTACAAGCTCTTGATCCTGAAGCTGCAAGGTCATGGGCTTTAGGGCTTAGGGCTTAGGGCTTAGGGTTTAGGGTTTAAGGGTTTAGGGTTTAGGGTTTAGGGTTTAGGGTTTAGGGTTTAGGGTTTCGGCTTGGGGTTTGAGCTGAAGCCACCGAAGCTCGACGGAAGGAGAGACGATTGCCTTCGTGTCACCCAACGACATCCGTCACTGGGGCAAGGCCTACGGCCCCTTCTGCGACCCCCCCTAAGCCTAAGCCTAAAAAAGCCTAAACCCTGCCAAACCCTAATCTGAGACCCCCTAAACCTAAACCTTAAAAATCCCTAAACCCTACTAGGCCATACTAAACCCTAAGCCCAGGTTTGGGGTTTAGGGTTTAGGGTTTGGGGTTTGGGGTTTGGGGTTTGGGGTGGGTTCAGCCCTTATAAGCTTGCATCACCGTGGAGGATGTGAGCGGCGCGAGTTCGGCTGTATAAGTGGTTCCTAGGGGCGCTTCTGACACGACCTTGTAGGGACACGGTTTAGGGTTTAGGGTTTAGGGTTTAGGGTTTAGGGTTTAGGGTTGAATCCTACTAGACACAAAAGGTTATCCTTTTCGGGCTGGGGTATTCAGCCCCTAAGCGACTGTTTGGCAAGACGGCGGGTGCAAGGCTACCCACTCCGGGCCCCACGAGTTTTCGCATGGGGTCCGCACTGCTTTCCTATGCACAATAGGCCCGTTAAACGTAATTTCAATTAAACCGTTTCCTAGAATTCGCAAGCCCCTGCGTGGCGCTGTCAGGTTTAGGGCTCAGTTGCCACTGTGGATCTAGATTCGTGCCGAGGGGTCATGAGCACGATCTCGATCGGAGGGTTTCAGGGGTTTAGGGTCTAGGGACAAGGGTTTAGGGGTTTAAGGGGTTAAGGGTTTTCGGGTTTAGGGTTTAGGTTTTTGGGGTTGCAAACATGACTCATGCCTCTCATCATCAAACCTCCCCGGCATCTCAAAGAAACATATTCTCTACCAGGGGCCGCATCCTGTGTCCGGGGGCCCAAGAAGGAAGATGACCTACCCTAATCCCTAAACCCTAAACCCTAAACCCCTACACCCTAAACCCTATACCCTAAACCCAACTCATCCACCGGAAGTCCGCAAACCTAGGCCTGAGCCCTAAACCCTAAACCCCTCAGATGACCTTGCAATCTGCGGCGCGCTCTGGCACAGGTCTACCAGGCTGTCGGAGTTACCAAGGAGCCGGGACTGGTGTTGAAGGTTTTGAGGGTGTTGAGTTTTTTGAGGGTTGCTAAGGGTTGGGCGGGTTCCCTAAACCCTAGACGCCAAACCCTACACCCTAAACCCTTTTTGTTCCTAAGGCTACTCTTGGGAATCGCCTATTACTGGAGACCTCTGTTTGCCTACTAAGCTTTGGATCCCTCTGGGGCCCTTAGACCTGTTTCGTTGTTGAAACTTATCTTGCCTTTTTATGATTCCTTCAACCCAATAAGGGGCAAAAATGGTCATATTCAAAAATCGTACCCCAAGAATGGTGCAAGAACAGGCCCCTCCTAAACGCTGAAGTCACAGGAGCGCGTGGAAGCCGTGCCCATGGTCCCTGAGGCCATCAACGCGGCCAAAGAGGTGCAGTGCGAGAGCTTGGTTCAGGGTTTAGGGTTTAGGGTTTAGGGTTTAGGGTTACCCTAAAACCTAAACCCCAAAAGCCGTAAACCCTAAATTTCCTAACCCCCCCCCCCCTCTCCCCCCAAGAAAGACACTTGAATGGGTTCAGGCTTGCGGATCAGGCATGGAATGTGTTTCGGGGAAAGTGTCAACCTTCGACCCAAAGCCAGCATCTGCGAGGCTTCTCGCCTGGCAGCCGACTTGGAAAAGAAGGCTCGCGCCCCGGTCCTTAGGAGGGCTCGCTGGACGGTAGGAACCCATCATCCGGTGCAAGCCCCTCCTCTGCGCAGGTAACAATATGTACCCGGAATCCCTGTAACTACCTAAACTCTCTCAACCCTAAACCCTAAACCCTAAACCCTAAACCCTAAACCCTAAACCTTAAATTCAACCCTAAACGCAAAGCAGCGGTGGAGGGTTAGGCTTAGCATGTCGAGCCTGAACCCAGGGACCCTCAACCCTGAACTCCGTGGCGATTTAGGGGTTAGGGTTTAGGGTTTAGGGTTTAGGGTTTAGGGTTTAGGGCAATCCTTCAGGTGCACCAGACATCCAAAGCCAACAACGAGAAGAGCTGGCTGCGGCGGGCAGCCGAAGAGGCCGAGCCGTGGGTTTGTCGGGCTTAAGAGGATCTTAGGGTCTTAAGTTTTGGGGTTTAGGGTTTAGGGTTCAGGGTTTAGGGTTTGGCTGGAAACGGGCTCAGAAGGGCTCATGAAAGGGGTTGAGAAGAGGTTTAGAGGCGCTTGAAAGGGTTTGGGCTTCTGGCGGCTTCTAGCGGATTCAACGTGGTTTGGGCGCTTCAAGGGGGGCGCAGCCGTGCAGGCCTAGGTGGTTTTTATGATCTAGGAGGTTTAGGGTGTTTTTCGGGGAGGGTTCGGGGCTGCGGGGCACCGGCAAAGCCGTCACGACTTGACTTTCTGCTGCCAAGAAAGGGTTTAGGGCCGTGGGTCTGGGGTGTAGGGTTTGATGTCTAGGTTGCTCTGGGGTCTAAACCCCAGAGCCCCGAAGCTCCAAAGCCCCAACCTAGAACCCTACGAGTATGCTGACAGAAATTTGCCCAGGGCTGCGCTTGCGTCCACCATTTCACCAAGAACCTCCCTCCCCTCGCCGGAACCGCGCCGAAGTCCGGAGCGTGAGGGCTGTTTGCGTGAGGGAATTCGTGAACCAGAAACTCTTGACCCTACATCCTGAACCCTGATTCAACCCCACACCCGAAACAAACCCCCTACAGCAAGACACCCTAAACCCTAAACCCTACCAGGTAAACACTACAGCAAGACACCCTCCATGAGCGCCCCGGTCTTGGGATTCAGGCGGACCTGGTGCTGGAGGAGGGCGATGAGGACCTGGACCGCGGCCGGAAAGCTGCCCGTCCGGCCAG